AGGGCTCAAGTGCAGGGCTCTACCCTGAGCGAGCAATATTACATTAGGCCTTTGTCTAGGGAGCAACCAAATCAGAGAGGCGCCAGAGCTGCAGATTCCTATTCACCCTGAACGTGCAATATGTCGTTAAGCCTCGGAGACCGATACATTAAGCCTTAATACGAACAATTCGGGCCTTAGAAGGAGACTGATTAGGGAAGACTCCAAAATGTAATTTTGCATGCCACCAAGCACGCTGGAGTTTGAACTGTCTCACGGAGGAGACTTGAGCAGCAGTGACACGGAGCCTGGACGTGTTTAAGGAGCGGCGCCAATAAGCACTGACGAGCAGATCAGAGCGGGTCAAAGCAGGAACAGACCCCAAACAGACGATGGCACGGGACAATCACGGGCCCGGGACAAGCACGTACAACGCAACCACAATGCGATTCATACGAACAAACAGACCATGTCACGCCAGCGTGCGCTGCTTGTCTCTGTGAGCCAGGTTACATACGTGTCTGAGAGAGCCGAGCCGTAGGTGCAGCCTGGGAGCCTGCGGAGCGGCAGTGGCAGGAACAGCAGCAGCGGCACGTGTAGTAGTAGGAGCAGCAGGAGCAGGCAGCAGCAGGAGCGGCAGCAGGAACAGGCGCAGCAGGAGCGGCAGCGGAACAGGCAGCAGCGGGAACAGGCATCAGTAGGAGCAGCAGGAGCAGGCAGCGGGAACAGGCTGCAGCAGGAGCGGCAGCAGGAACAGGCAGCAGCAGGAGCGGCAGCGGAACAGGCATCAGTAGGAGCAGCAGGAGCAGGCAGCAGGGACAGGCAGCGGTAGGAGCAGCAGGAGCGGCAGCAGGAACAGGCAGCAGCGGGAACAGGCATCAGTAGGAGCGGCAGGAACGGGGAGCAGGCATCAGTAGGAGCAGCAGGAACAGGCAGCAGCAGCAGCGGGAACAGGCATCAGTAGTAGCAGCAGGAACGGGGAGCAGGCATCAGTAGTAGCAGCAGGAACGGGGAGCAGGCATCAGGGAACAGGCATTAGTAGGAGCAGCAGGGACCGGCAGCAGCGGCGGTCAGAGAACCATGCCCATGGTTGTTTAAGAGCCTCAGGAAGCGTTGTTTGCAGTGTTGCCAACTCCTCAGTAAGGAAAGTAGCTATTGGCTGTCCCAAAAGTCGCTAGAAGTTGCTAAATGACGTCATCGCCTAATTTGCATAATTAGCCATTTGCAAATAACTGTAACGGACGCTGTAGGAGAGAGGAATAAGGTCGTGGGAGAGACAAAAGTGAGTAAAAACACCCTAAATATGTTTAGAACTACAAATGTACAAAAATAATTTCAACATTAACAACATTTAATGATTTTAATGCTTTGTCTAGATCCACATTACACACATCAGTTTTGTCCTGTATTGTTAAATGTTATAACAGCAAATGTAATCAAAAGATTGTTATGTAGGGTGAAATTGCTAGCTCTACAACCAACCCTCCTCCTTTATCCGGGCTTGGGACCGGCAAAGTGACCCAAAAGACACACTCTGGCAGAGTTACTTAGGTTTATTTTTGTAAGTTTTTTTTTTTTTTCATAGTTTGGCATAACAAATGATTTAATGTGACCCACTACTGAGAGAAAACAGAGTCACGGACAGAGCTGCCGCGGATGGAGTGGGGGGTAGTGGGGGGTGGCGGTGGTAGGAGTGGCCGGGGAGCTTTGGATGTGTGGTGGTGGTGGAGCTGAAGTTCAGTCTGCAGCAGCCTGAAAACTTCCTGTGCTTTTGAGTCTCCTCTCTCTCTCTCTGCTCCGCCCATAGACTGTAGCTGGGACTGCTGCGCAAGGCTACTGTGAGACTGGCCGCCTGTAAGTGCTTTGGGACGGGGGAGGGGCTCACGTTGAGGACAGCAGAACAATACGTGCTTCACGAGTCTCCAAAACACCAGATAAGTCGCCAAAACACCAGATAAGTCGCCAATAACACCAGAAAAAGTCGCTAGATTTGTCGCTAGTCGCTTTTTTGAAAAAAAGTCGCTATAGGGGTCTGAAAAGTCGCTAAATCTAGCGACAAAGTCGCTAAGTTGGCAACACTGGTTGTTTGTCAGGAAGTGGTTGCCTTTTAAACTACCCGCTTTGCTCTGAGAGGGTTGGCAGGAGGCTGGCCTGGCTGTGTGATTGGCTGAGGCTCGAGGCTGGCAGAGCTGTGTGATTGGCTGAGGCTCGAGGCTGGCAGGCACTCGGTCTTTCAGTCTGAACATCCGCTTGAGCTTCATTTCTCCTTCTTCATGGACAATTATGACATATAAATGTCTAGCACTGAGGACAATAACAAGTATAATAAGAATACTATATTTAAGTTTTTTGTTTTGTATTATTATTGCTGATATTGTCATATAAATAAATAAAGAAAAAATATGGTTTTTATGATAATGAAATGTCAGTAAAGCTATTTGGCACAAATTGGCAAATGGCACAACTTGATGAAAAGGAGAAACTGCATAAAAACTATAAAACTTAGAAGTCTGAAACTTTAGACAGTTGTTGTCAACAACACAATGACCATAGGGTTTGAATATTGTGAACTTACAATGAAGTATGCCTTTTTTAGGGCCTTTAGAAATTGAAAATGTTAGGCAAGGCTCAAAAAATAGTTTTTTTTCCCCAAACTTCAAAGGATGCAGAGTGAAACAGGAATGACAAACATTATTTTAGTGTATATTTACATAAACTAGAAGGCTCTAGCTTTAAAATGATGCATCACACAAGCATGTGACATGTAAGATGTGTTTTAAAATAAGCAAAGACATTTGGGTATGCCCAACTTTTGTACACAAGCCAAAATGAGGCGGGTGTTAAGAGGTTAAACAAAGTTATTTTCACTTTATCTGTACACATGTGAAATCTCCGTGCTTAAGTGTTAGCCTGTCCATACAGCTTACAGTACTGCATTTGAATTTCATCGTCATCACTGAAGTCACTCCTGATTACGTGCCCCAGGTATTTAGCCTTCTCTACATTCAGAAGCTCCACACCAGACAAATATGTCCAAAGTACAGCTTTGGGCAAGTTTATAAAGCTCGTGTAAGCATTCGATCCTCGTAAGTAGCATAAGCTACATGTAGCTCTATAGTCAGTCGTTGTGTTTACATCTAAAACCACGAGAAAAAAATGCATTGCTTTTTTGTTAAATGAAAAAATCTTTACCTTACCTTCGAAATGTCTGAAATTTGTGATTTTTTAAACTATTAAAACAATCTATGGGCTGAAAACAAGAGAGAGAGATCACGTTCACAACATGTAATCCATTACGGCAGAGTGATTTGATGCCCACTTTTTTGAGAAAACTACCGCCGTGCGGTCGAGTCGGAAGCTCGGAACTCTTAATGCATGTATAACGAGAACTGCTGAGTCTGTGTCACTGATAATAATTCCCTTAGTCACTAATCACTTTACCTGTTATTATTACTATCACTGCATTACTACATATCCATTGCTGATATTGTTACTATTGTTTTTCTGCTCATATTCTCCGCTACTAATTTATTCTATTTCACCATGTTCTTACTAATTATTTTTATTTGATTATTTGTTGTCTTAAAGAATATAACCTGTTTGATGTGTGCAATCTGAGTGCTCTTATTTCCTTCTGTTTCTCTGCTATAATGTGCACAAAAATGACACTGAAATGTCCCCACTGTGGGACGAATAAAGAAATATCCTATCTTACAGAAGTCGGACAAATTAGTGTAGTTTCTATTTTTGCGTTCCGCTGACCAAAACTATGAATGATGCCTGCGGTGGAAAAGGTGTGCAGCAAACATATACATGCAGAAAGAAAATTCAAATGTTTAGGCATCAACACTGGAGTTGGTTTGTCACTTGCAAGATGCACAGAAAGACTATTTGGAATATTCCAATTCCTATTATTAATATTCTGATATCCAAGGTAAATAAATAAGTTTAATTACATAAACTGTGGAAGATGACTGCCAACCATGTGTACAAACACATACAGCTGCCTGCTGCTCTTCTGGCCGGTACTGTCCTCTACACATCTTCATACATCCATCCATCCATCCATTTTCTTCCCCTTAATCCATTACTGGGTCAGGGGGGTGGCAGTCAGAGCTGCACCCAGTACACTGAGCACCAGCCCCTCACTGATCCTCCTGCAGGTGGTGAGTCCACAGGAGCTGAGATCTTTCAGTGGGAGCTTCAGGCAAAGTGGGGTTAAGTGTCTTGCCCAAGGACACAACGACAGCAGTCATCAGTGGGAGTTGTGAAGTAGGTCTTGTGGTGGGCTTGAACCCACAACCTTCAGGCTCAAAGGCCAATGCTCTACCAACTGAGCTACTGTGCCATCTTCATACAATTTACAACAATTGTGCAATAAAAATGTATTAATTGTTAACGTTAATTGTGTTAACGCTTTTAACTAAAGATAATGAATGGATGGACTATTCATTTAGTTTCCTTTAGTTCAGCTTTTGATAGTTAATTTCAGATAATTATTTTTGTTTTGACAATAACAAATGGAAAACTAAGACTATATTAAAGTCATGAAAAGTTAGATCAAATGTCATTTTTCTGTAATTTTTTGCACATTTGAAAAATGTGAAGCAGTATTGTTGCAGTGTTATGAACTTCAGTTGTAGATTTCTCCTAGCAAGTCATTCTTATCCAGTCTCTGATGATCAGAATCGCACTGACAGATCCCACGCCACACATGAGTGCTTTTATGGGCCTCTTGTTTACTCCTGTGGTGGTGGTACATTTACTGTCACACCTCACTTCACCAAAGACAAGAGCCAGCTGCCACCAAGACTGGCACCGTGTTTATACTGGTGAAGTCTGCTGCCCGTCCCGCTCTGAGTCCTGGTGAGAGACAACACCAGGAATACGCACAATGTCAGCTCAGAAAATAACTCAGCAGGTCCTTTAAAGTGTTCCTTTAAACCTGGGATGAACCATAAGTATTATTAGAAAAGCCCATCCCCCAACAGAACGCAGCAAAGTGACACTGACCGGTGAATTCAATGTGGCACATTGAGTGAGAGGAAGTCTTCTACTGCCTGAACAGCCTGTGCGCACAGAGGGTCCAGTTGTCCATCTCCCCCTGCACAACACAACACGCCACGTACAACGCACACAACACATGCACACGCACACGGGCATGAGAAATGCGCACATTCTCTGGATTAAAATTAGGTCAGATAGTAGAGTAAGTAAGTAACGCAAAGTACCAAAGAGCAGGTCTCTGATGTCACAGCTGAACACTATCCTGCCCTTCACCATCAGCTCCACGCGGTTCCACTCGCGCGTCTCCTGCTGCACGCACTGGTGTCCGTGCGTGGCCAGGGCGCCTGCGCAGTACGCACACACGTTAAGCACAGCTCTCATGGTGCTTTATTACTGTAGTTTCGTGTCCTCTGTCCTTACTGCGCATGCCCTGCAGGCGGCTGGTCCGGTGCAGCACTTGCCCACACGCCTCGTACGGGCCGTACATCATGGTCACAAGTCCACACATGTTGTTTGTTGTCGGTTTGTTGTCGGTTGCCTTGGTGACACTGTGCGCGTCTCCATTGGCGACTGTCTTGAATACGCGTGCACCTCACGCACAGTAAATACAAAAACAAAATAGACTAATGAACATACTAAAATATGATGAAATGAATACACAATGACAGTTTGATTTAGGCCTTTATTTATTATAAATGTGAGTATACTTTTTTTTGCTCTGTTTTGTACATTTAACATTACCTCCATATAGTTGACTACAATATGGCAAAATAATACAACTTTCAACTTTGTTGAACATTTAATACAGTGGTTTTCAAATGGTGGTTCATGTACCATGAGTAACAGTAACTAATGTGCGGTCACAGACTCGTTCACAGACGCCTCTTCTACAGAGAATATGTAGAATAGTTTGAATCTACGTGTTTACAGTTCTTTAAGGCGTACTAGTCCTGCTCTGCAACATGTGGCACATGGTGTGACAGGTTTGAGAACCAGTGGTCAAACAAACAGACATCTTCTACTACAAAGTCACCTCAGGACAGGATGAATCCTGTTTAGACAGGAGCACAGTATCAGTCTCAGTTTGAGTTACTACAGAAACTCCATCAACACATCCTTATTGCACACAAGCAGACTTAAAAAAAACAGCAAACACAATTGCATAGAACTTAGCTCTACATTAGGATAATATGATAGCCACATGCAAATCTTTTGGAGAATAAATACAGTATAGTGGTCTCATAATATTTGTTGTATAAATAAATAAATAAATAACAATACTGCTATTAAACCTCTATAGTTTTATGAACAACGCAGTAACATCCAGCTTTAATAAGGCTTTTGTCACAAAGAAGACAATCAGCCTGCTACATCATTATACAGTATCTAACCGTATCTAAAACAAACAAAAGGAAGTCGTCCACTTCCTTCTTGAGAACTGTCGTGTTCATTTGTGCCTTTATGTTACACTACAGTAATCTCCATCTCCACAAAGTGCCTGCGCAATACTGCCAAACCATCTGTGTAGTACCAATGAAAGAAAAGAACGACAAGAATAAACAAGATCAGCCTCAGTCTCAGTCTCAGCCTCAGCCTCAGCCTCAGCCTCAGCCTCAGTCTTAGCCTCAGCCTCAGCCTTAGCCTCAGCCTCAGCCTTAGCATCAGTCTCAGCCTCAGTCTCAGCCTCAGGGCTGGTGAAAACGAGGAGCATCAGTACAGTACTGTGATGCAGTGGTCAGAGCTGGTTTCCTTTTACACCAGTTCATTAACGCCAGAACAGTGTAATTTCAAAAATTGTCCTTTGCAATCAACATTTATTTATCTCCAAGGGGCTGGTTCTGGACTAGTTCTGATTTTGAGCCGCTTGTTTTACACCAGAGAAGAGAAAACGTTAGTTAGCATGCATTAGGAAAGGTAAAACATATATATCAATGACCTAATTTTATTAAAACTGGTGAAAAACAAACTTTATCAGAATGTTTCAGAATCCCTGAAACATTCTGATAAAGATAACTCCCATAGCTGTCAAAATGACTGCTATGGGAGTTATAGTAGTTTCAGAATTCTGGGGGATAATACACACTGTTCCATTCTAAATAAATTAAATTACATGAAAACGATGATATGGTAAAAGCTCTTGACATTCAATCATGCACATTATGCCCCTTTGTACGTCCATATTCACTGCTCTCACTTTGAGCTGTTCACACTCAGAGACTTACAGCATGTACTTGTACAGTACTGTACTTATACTGTATTGTACTGTACTGTACATGTGTCAGTCCTCATGGCCCTGCACCTGGCCCTGTGCTCTGTTTTGTCTTCAGCAGCCCTTTGGCCACAGCCTGCTTCTTGGCCGGCTCCTCTGTGCTCTGACCCTGTGTGCTGTGCGTGTGTTCACTTGTTGATGTGTCACACAGCTCCCTCATGTCCCTTAGAGCCTGCTCCACGGCTCTGCAGAAGTCCACTGAGCAGGTGTGGGGGCTGTCGGCGAAGCTGGAGATGCAGAAGATGATGTAGTCGGACTGAGGGTTGTAGCAGGCTCCATACCCTCCTGGGACCACGGGGCCGTAGCAGCAGAACATCTCCACAGTGGTAGGAACCTGGAGACAGGAGGAGGATTATTCCAGTATCAGGAGTGTTTCAGTTTAATGTGTGAGTGTCAGGGATCTGGATCCTGTCTCTCAGTCTCCTGTCAGCTTCTTTGAATATCATTATTATCTTTGACTTTTAGTTTTCTGCATTATTTGATCCAGTCGTTATAATATAGAGTGCTTCTCTATTTAATCCTGGTCATGATCAAACACACACAAAGGCATCACGTGTCTCCACCATTTATTGAGAATGTAGAGAAATTAAGAGACAACTGGATCTCTTTGAGAAGACGTTGTTGGGAACTTCTCCAGCGAGACACGATGGTCCATGGCCTATGTTTGGATGGGACTCCCCAGGCCTTTATGGGCACACAATTATCCAGCTGGTCAGCCTCTGTGAAGCTCTGAGGGACTTGTGTTTGGAACAGAATGGAACAGTTCATGTAGAGCGTAGCATAGAGTAAAGTGTTTTGGTTGATAATGATTGAATATTTGTGCTTCAGAACACTGGTACCTGACTCGTGGAGAGAATGAACTGGTTACTGATGAGATAAGCTTCATCCTTGAATATCTCTGGCGTCTCCATCTTCAGCTCACGTGCTATTTCCCGTAGTCCCAGAAGGTGATTGTCTATGGCCCTCCCTGTAATCGCCTGAAACAGGAAAAATAACTTTATTTACTAAGCATCACTCATCATATTTATGCACTTTTAATGATGCCACTTACCAGAATAGTGTACTTTGTTTGTGCGGCTATAGCGCCTTGTAACAACTCCATCCTCTCCTAGGACAGAGAATCAATAAACAATCTATTAATATCAGACTAAATGCAGAGTGAAGGAGAGATGACATGACAGCCAGAAAAATGACAGTTAGGCTGTAAATGGGTTTATTATTCAGAGGGATTTGTGTGGCACAGCGCACACTGAAGAAGACGTATTGTGCTTTGATAAACTTACATCTCTGACTCCCATGATCATTGTTATATTCTACCATACTGACTCAGCTGAGGATGTCTGGATTCCTCACCATACGAAACGATATGTATTACGCGGTGATACGGCAGTTATCGATTATTGCTCATTCATTTGTCAACAATATATTATCCAAAAGTTAGTTTATTGTATGTGGTTATCTTTGTTATTTACTTATTACATTATTGAGGTTGATAATAACCTTTTACGCACATGGTTTGGATGGTACTTTTTGGGTATAATTTTCTGAACAAAATTAGTGGATTAAAACAGAATTGACGGCGGAGGCTGCTGGGTATTGTTGACTGATTTATAGATTATTTGCTGCCATTGGTAATTACATAGGTAATTGGCATGAGGTATAACATGCCATGGAAACCCATACTAAGTTGCAAGAATTCATTGGGTTTTGACTTCCATTCACTCCAAGTCATTTAATTAGGACTTGCTGGAGATACTTTTGCACGCTCCTGATAGTGACGTTAAGTAAAATATACTATTGATCAAAAGGAAACAAAAGAAAAAATTAGATAGCCAACATTTGTGCTCACAATTGCGCTATTGATTTGGCCTGCTTATGTGTCACAATAAATGTCAGAACATGAAAATTGGATTGACGACCCAACAGATGACAAGCATGGAGTAAAGGTGTTTGAAGAACGTTGTAAATTACCAATTACTTTTTCACTTGTTCTGGAGACCTCATAGAAATTGATGTGAAAAAATAATGTATTTATTTGTTTATCAAGCCCAAGATAAGGTTATTTGTCTGGACTGTATATCTCTTTTTTAAACAGTGACACCATGACTACAAACTCCCACTGTAATAAATCCACTTACGCTTGAACTCAGCTTCCCATCAGCCATTGCTCTCACAAAGGCCAGTGCCTGGGGTGTGGCTGAGCGGATGTTGTCCACACGTCCCTTTCTGAAGCGACGGGTGGAGGCGCTCTCGTAGGTGGACACCAGTCTACCGTGACATCTAGAAGTGGACACATGTTTTATGATATCACCACATGCAGAGTTTGAAGCATTGGGTCAGTGTGCGTCCCCACCAATGTGGTGTGTCTTATGATGAAGGCATATATACCATGTGTTTTACCAGTTTATTAGAAACATGGTGAGCTAAGAGACCCTGGTGACCTTTTAAAGATACGCTTATACTCAAGGCAACCATTTATATGGTTGTAGTAAAAGAAATGGATGATTTCTTGTTAGGTGCAGGGGACCAAGAATTGTATCTGCTATATTGTTATGATATAGAATACTCTTTTATTTATCTTTTTTTTCCTGACAAAATAAGTTTAAGGTATTGTATGTATGCAGTTTTACAGATTTTAAAAATGACTAAAAGTTATCAAAACTAAATTAAGTTAATTTTTGCCTGTATTTTAAAGAGTGGCAACTGAACCACCACAGTGGCCACCAACTGAGGGAGGGGGCTGGTCGTCTTGTCACATGGAGCTACTGAGGCGTCTTGTCACATGGAGCTACTGGGTGCAAACCACTACATTAACTGACAATTCAGTCATTAAGAGATTTTTTTGAGTCAAAAATAAGTGAGCCTTTATCTCCTATAGATGGCAGGCCTAAAATGTTTTCCTTCTGCTTCAGTTTTCTCCAGGGGTAAGGCTTGGACGCGGTGGTTTCCTTCCTGACGCTCATGCTGCACACCCAAACAAAGCTCTCACTTGTTACAGATTAAGGTAACCCTGCATTTAAGGACTCACATAAGCTTCTCATCACCACATACATAGAAATGTTCCTAGGCTGAAAAACCTGGACAAATCTGGGCATGAGTAGAAACACATACTGAACTGTGAACTGAACTGTGCTTGTATATACAGTAGTAGTTCTCTAGGCTGTTCTATCCTCGACACTTTATTTTTAGCCGGATAAATCTTCCACATATCACAAATTCAAAAAAGAAAATTGTCAAAGGAAGTAACCCCAGAAGAAGGTGTAGTATTCAGGTACTGAGGGTAGAAATAACTTGAACATGGATGAATTTTGCTGTCATGAATTACAGCTTTGAATGTATAAATACCAAGGAAAAACAGCTAAAACATTTATCTGGTCTTCTCTTACCTGTAGTAGGCTAACTGCAGAGCCACTTGGATGTAGGCGTCTGGACTCATCTTCTGCTTCTTTATAAACTCTTTCCCGTACTCAAAAAACTTGGACACCTTCATATCCAGATTTTTCACCAGTCTGGGCACAAAAAGGCACTTTAGTTTCTTGTTTCTAATTGTGTTTTGTTGCTTTCCGCCCTGACCTGTGCAGCTTATCGGCCGATGACGACAGCAGTTTGTGGATCTCTGGTGTGCACTTCCAGCGGAGCCTCCGCGGGGCCGGCAGCTCGCTCACACTGGCTGCTCGCACTAGTTTGGACGGACTTCCAATCCTAGGAGAATGATGCATGTCAGTATGCAGCCTGAAGTCCAATCTGGCTTCTAACACCTCACATGTATTTCAGTAGATGCTCCGTGCACTGGACAAGCACGATGCCTTCAAAGGGTGAATGTTCACACACGACCCCACAGTTGCCGTCTGCTCCGATGATAAACTGAGACGGAAAGCATATGATTATGCTGAAATCATTTCTGCAAATGCTTTATCTATTTGTGAAGGGGAAATGGAACTTGTCAATTGATTTTCAGGAAGTAAAAATCATAATTTAGATTCCCCATAGTTTTGCAAAAAGTCCAAATGTGAAGAGTTTGAAGACATGACAGGCTAATTCGCTTCCTGCCACTATCGGCAGCACGCTGGGCGTTGTAAAATTGTAAACTTAAGCTCCACCCACTTCACAGATTTATAATATGAAAAATGGACTGGTCCCACTTTTAAACCACGTTGTAGTGTTCAGCTACGCAGCTAACCTGCATGGGCTTGTCGTACCAGCGGTTGCCTCCGTTCTTGCTAGGCCCTCCTCCGTGTAGCATTAGTGTGGCCCGCGTGCTATCGCTAATCTCTGCAGCGCTAGCATCATCCAGACACACCAGGCACATGCAGCGCTCGATCATGTCCAGAGAGTCTCTGTTGGTTGATTCTGGGGAACAAAACATAAATCGCTTGGCTCTATGAGAAACAATTTCTTTCAGCTTTATTCAGTTGTCAATCGTACAGAATGCTAATAACAAGATCTTTCTCAGACAATAAAACACTTGATCACTTGTAAATTTCTCCTCCTTGTGAGATAAATAAAGAATATCTTATCTTATCTTATAAAAAAAAAAGTGCGGTAGCCTAAATGTGGTTTTTCTTTTTTTTTCTTTTTATAAAATTGAGCTACCGTGAAGATTCAGACTGGATGACGTTCAGACTCATTTCCTCCCTCTACAACACACTCTCACATTATCTGCTGTGTTTAAACAATGCTTCACATCTGTGAGCACTTTCAGCTCATGCAGAAACTGGCCTCCTCCCCATTAGGTCCCCCGCGAAAAAGAGTTTGTATCTCAAGGGAGCTCCTGGTTAATTAAAGGTTTAATAAATCACCACCAGTGGGACGTCAATAGCTCATCACTTCAGTTTCCACTAACTCTAGGGTCTATTACTCTCTTTGTCAGGTCAAAGTATAATTTACTACATGGAAACTTAACTCAGTAAACATTGTTATTGTGCATCCTCTTGGCTGAGTCTTTCCAGATAAAACTGCTTTTCATATCTGCATTCGGACCAAACAAACTACTGCAACAGCTGACCTCTCATGAGCACCGAGCGAGACTCCGCCCACTGGCTCCGTCCGTCCGTGGTGAGCAGCCCAACGGGGGGAAGGCGCTCCTCCTCGCTGTCGGCCATCTTGGCGATCCTCTGCAGCTGAGTGAGCAGGTCCCTCTCATTCAAGCGACGGAAGTTTATTACCACGTCCAACACAAAGAACTGCACAAAATTGGGTGTGGTTTTAATAAGTGAAAAAACAGGCTTGACCCTAATTTCTCTTGAACCTCCATTCTTTAGGAACTGGCAAGTGGAGTTGTACAAAGTTTGTCTTTCAGCTTTCAAATGGTGGAAACAAGGGGATTCTGTGTTTTTAAGTTTTCCGCTTCAAAAAATGTATTGCATTCAATTCGCACAAGAAAATAAAACAATATTAACCAGACTAGAGACAGAATAATAAACAGAGCCAAGATCAGACCAAAAGCAGACCTGCACCAAGACAAGACCAGAATCGAGAATGGTTCAAAAGTAGCTTTGGCCTTGCTGGATAACAATACTTTGTAGTATGCAGTAACTCACAAAAGCTTCAGCCCTCTACAGTTAAGAGGTCTGTATAATTAAAGCAATGAACAATAAATGACAATAAAACCTTTTTAATAATATGTGTAGTGACCCAAAAAATCCTCTTTCTCAGCCTGGGCCTTAGCTTCTGATAGACGTGCAGGTGTGCAATGATGAATGTCCAAAACTTACACATATGATTAAGGTGGTTAAATGAATTAAAAGAATCACCAAAAAGCAAATAAGTGTGACATGTAAAATCAAAATGCAGTTGTGCAGTCAAAAACCGTTTGTCTATCAACCCAGGCCTCCATCCCGAGGTCTCTCCCAACTGGACATTTGAGGCAGTGCACCTAAACAAAAAACTCCCACACCACCTAAATAAATAATTACAGCAATAATAATAGTACCAATTAAACTCATAATTAGCCCAAAAAATAGGACAAGAGATGGTACTAAATTGGCGGCGACAATATGCTTTCTTTGATAAAAACATGTGAAACTTTCAGATCCACCAACAAATATCATTTTACCTCCAAATCCATAACCCCTGCCACCATCTCCTCCATCACAAACTGCATATCCGCAATAAAATCCTGGATGTCCACCAATTTCCTCAAACTCAACTGCAAAAAATCTGAAATTATTACTATCGGCCCCAAGTCCCTCCTTTCCAAAACCCAGAATTTCACACTCTCCATCGACAGCCACACCATCTCACCGTCTGCCCAGATCAGAAACCTCGGAATCATCTTAGACCCCACCCTTTCTTTCAAGCCCCACATCTGCAACATCACAGAAACTGCCTTCTTTCACCTTAAAAACATTGCCCGTATTTGCCCATATCTGTCCTCCACCGCCGCTGAAACCCTGATCCATGCTTTCATATCCTCAAGACTCGACTTCTGCAACAGTCATTTATACGGCCTTCCTTCATCTGATCTCCAAAAACTACAATATGTCCAAAACTCTGCCGCCCGCCTCATCACTCAGACCCGCTCCAGAGAACACATCACCCCTGTCCTTCAAAAACTCCACTGGCTCCCCATCAAACAGCGCATCCATTTCAAAATCCTCCTCATCACCTACAAAGCCCTCCATAACCTCCCTCCTCCATACCTCACTGAACTTCTACAGCCCTACAGTCCCTCCCGCCGATTCCGATCTGCAGACTCACATCTCCTCAGTCCCACTGTCAAATCCAAGCACCGAACCTTGGGGGGTCGAGCTTTTGCCATCTCTGCTCCCACTCTCTGGAACTCTCTCCCTCCTCATCTCAGAACCTCGGACTCACTAAACTCCTTCAAAAAACAGCTCAAAACTCACCTCTTCCTCCAAGCACATGACTCTTAGTTTCAACTTTTTATTCTTCTTTCCTGCTTTTAGATTTTAGTTTTGTGTGTCTGTCTAAACGTGTGTGTCCTGAATTGTGAAGCGTCTTTGAGTTTTTGAAAAGCGCAATATAAAACCAATGTATTATTATCATTATTACTAATAATCCATACACCGTCTGAGCTTTAAATTGTGTATTTCTGAAGATTTGAGATTCTACTGCCGTAAATGTTTTACAGATATCTCCATAATGTTTGCACTGACCTGGTTCTTACAGGCCACAATGATGTGCTCCGGCTCGGGCATCACGCAGCTCTCCTGGGCCACCAGAGTGTCACGCTGAGGCCCCGGGAGGCGATAGGAGGTGAACAGGCGGTAGTACTGCTCCATGCACATGGGGGTCCCGGCTAACTGTCCCCGAGCGTAGTCCACAGGCAGAGCACAACTGGGGAAAGAGGAACGGCCATGTCAATAGGGACATATGACGTCATTTTCACGGGTCGCTTTCTGCTTGTGACCTGGGCTGAGGTGTCAAATTGATTGCATTTAACTGACCTCACAACCTAGACCCATAGTATGTCCCAGAAAATACACTGACAGTTATATTCTGCGTGACTAAAGTAATGATGGATTTAGTCTGCTAATTTAACTAAATGGATATATAGATGGATGGTAGGATAGAAAGAAATCTTATTGATCCTTTGCAGGAAAGGAAGGTTAATAAATAAAATACAGACATTAAAGGTATATAGGAGGAAAGAACCACAATCTCCCTGTTTGGAAAAAATGGACATGTGCAATGCTCTCCCTGCTCCCAAGAGGTAAAAACCTTCTATAACGTGTGCGAGAGACGTGCACAAGCCCAGTTCTCCTTGTGCTTGCTTTGTGTACAAGTGTACTTTCCAAAATGATTTGCACTTTTCCCATTATGTCAGACAATTTAGACGTAGATAACTGTTACTGGAAGTTATTTGAAATAGATATCTCCAAATAAAATGCCAAACTTTACCTGTCGGGCAGAAACATCAGTGGGAAGCCCAACCAAAAACACTCTGGTCTTGTTTGACGAGCACGTACGACGGCCTTACTTTGCCTTACAGCACCAGAATGATTGACAATTGGGAGGACTAATAGTCTTGATGATCCAACAAAGAAAATGCCCCTTTATACCTTTAAAATGAATTCTGTGTGTTTAGATAGTCTTATTGCAGCTGGAATGAAAGTCTTTCTGAGCCTTGAAACAATGATTATCCATCTGAAGGAGCTGCAGTTGATCACCTCCAGAGCGTGAGGGGACGGAGGACGATTTGAAGGCATCAAAGGGTCAAAGCAGGAAACTATACTCACGCATCCAGAAGAGTCTTGTAGTCCAACACTCCAGAAATCAAATGTGCTGCGAACCTTAAACAAACATGAGATTTTTGGCCCATTAGTTTGAAGGCGATGGAGTTTAACCCTTGATTTATTTCCAGGATATTCTACATTTAAAACACAAATGCTGTATGTAAATCATCCGGTTAAGGCGGTACTGCTGGATCAATACCACCTTAATCAGGGAGCAACCTTCACCACGACTTCACCCCAACAGAGAGATGGTAATGGCCCAATCCGTCAAGTGTTGGCTTCTCTTCTGTACATTTTTGAAGAAACGCACTATCCCCAAAATGGTATTTCACATTATCTATATCATTTTGAACAATCTGACAAAATCCTTTATAAACAGTTCATATTTACCTTTGAAAGTATAAAAAGATTAACTGACTTCACAGAAGAATGAAAGATACTGTTTTTGCTCTTGATACTATAGACCAGGCATGTCAAAGTCAAATACATCAGAGGGCCAAAAAAAAAATGTTTGCTACGCGCCGAGGGCCGGACTGGTTCAATGTTTCTCAACATCCAGAGGCAGTGCTGGTGACACCTGTTGGCTCGATAAAATATGCTCCAAAGCCAATCCTCATACTGTACATATTAGATGTAATAGACATCTGAGAACATAAAAATAGTAAAAAAAAAAAAGCTCAAACTTGGTGAAATGTAAAAGAGCAGTCTGGACCTCTTTTCGGGGCGTTTTTTGATTAAATCTGCAGAATGGATTATACTTTGGGAAATACAAGTGGATATTCTTCTTCAATGAACAGTTACGGAGAGAAAGAGACTAAGCAAGGATGGGGAAAGTCTAATTTGTTGGAGCAGCAGAAGACGAAAGGTAAAAAACAAATACAGACGTGATTTATTTTGTGCCCATATTATGCGTTATATCTTTTTAATGCAAAGTCTGATATCGTTTACACTTAAATATGAATATAGCTGAGAAAATAAGCTTTAAAATGATATATAGCTTGTGGCTGAAGTTCAAAATACATCTGCTATTGCCAGCAGATGTATTTTTTTCCTCGTTTGCTCCCGCCGGCGGGGGCTAGCGAGCGTAAGGGGATAATACATTGCCTCAATGGCAGGCAATGTCCCGGGGGCCATGGATAATTAATTCGCGGGCCGGATTTGGCCCGCGGGCCGGTTTTGGCCCGCGGGCCTTGACATTTACACATGTGCTATAGACTGTATATACATGGACAATGCCCCGAGCTCAATGAAATTCAATAGTGAAGTGCTCCAGGACAAAGATTTGCTCCAACTTGCTCTGGCTCCTATTGACTTACATTAGAAAGTCCTCTAACTCTTAAATCAGCGCTCTCTATGATTCTGGTGGGGTTTCTAATATTTTTTTTCTCTGTAAATCCAGATATTAGCCATATAAAGATTGATCAATCAGATGTCTTCACTCGCAGAGATTACTTTGGCTTGAATTAGCATTCATAAAAGCAACACCTCTGCCCCTATTACTCAAAGCTAACGGCGTGGGGACAAATACCCATATAAGGACCGCTCCACCGCGTTTATGCTCCTTTGGGCCTCAGACAGTCACAGTGAAACTTATGTGAGGTGCAATCTGTTTTCTGATTGGATGATAATAATAGAATATGGGATATAATAATATAAACAACTGTAAACAAACAATAGATATGATGGTGGCATGTCCCAAAGGAAGGAGACCTTTGGGCGTCTCTGCTAATTCTGCTGCCCCCGCGACCCGGCAACGGATGAAGCAAAACAAAATGGATGGATGTGATGAAACCAAATTATTTGAAAACCACAACAATTGTCTTGTTGTTAGACTCAAATCTAAATCGAACTGCAAACTAAAACTTGCAAGTGTTGCCAAATGTTCTTGTTTCATTTATTTATGTTTTCAGTTTTTGTAACAGAAACCCCCTACGACAGTCTCCACCTCTTAAAGGTGTTTTTTCCAAAAGAAAGAGTCTGGTAAAAGTCAAATCATGCTTACCTCGTCCTATTAGAAAACCAATCATATTCTGGATAATTGTGAGAATGGGCCCTGTGAGTCGCTGTTTGATTCTATGGGATGAGATTGGCAGAGTGAGGGTAGTACTCTCTTTTTCTTGATGACAGAGAACAAAAATACATGAATATAAATAAATGTGATCTTAAAGGCAGGTACGCTGAGGCCAGAATTTATGGAAATTGAAAATTATGCCATGTTTTCCCTCATTTTAAAGTGTATTTTCTCAAGAAAAGAACCATGCACATAATTAATATATTCTAAAATGTTAACCCCACTATCTTTCTTATATTTAAATAGTTAAATGTAAGAAAATAAATCACCAGGTTTTTTTTCAATCCAAACATCTCTGAGATAACATTAAATCAAGAAGGGGGAACGAAATATTTCAACTGAAATATGAAGCATTAAATCTATAAAAAAGCAGTGATCCCTCGCTATAACATGGTTAACCTTTCGCAGCCTTGCCTTGATTTTTTACGTGCAATTTTGCGTGCTTTTTAGGCAGTCTGCTTTTTATGCGCCGCTTGTTTACTCAACAACATCACATAACCGCTAGTTTAAAATGACAGCTACTTTATTTAAAGTAAGCAAACGTTTGTGGCTTGTGTGCACCGCTGTTTAGTTCGGAGGACTACTGAGCCCTCAGTCCTGCTCCTGCCGCTCAGTGTGCTGTCCTCTGCAGATGTATTATACAGTGTATGCACAGCTTTTGACAGCTGCAGCAGCACTGACACCTACAACAAACAGATTTGATATCTCTGCAGTTGCACTTCAGCAGTCATAACTTCAGGCAGTTAGAAAAGTGTATCAAGTGAGTGGTGAGGGGTTTACAGCCTTAAAACATAGAGCTGCTACTTTGCAGATTTTGCTTTTTGTGCGTTATTAAAAAAAAAATCCCTGCGATAAATGAGGGCCCACTGTATTTACAACTTGAAACCTCTGTAATATCGTCAGTCTGTCGTGCTGTGGTACCTCAGGGCGTCGCTGGGGGCTCTGAAGGGCTGTGGGGGGAACACCATGGCGGGACTGGAGTGCACAGGCAGAGGCAACCGGTTGTTCAGGTACATGTCGTTCAGCCAGTACTCGTTCACCTGTCGCCATGGAGACAGTGAGTATCAATTTTGGAACAGTCTTGTAATAATCTTACATTTGTGCTTGAAAGTTTACAAACCTAAAAAGAAGTACTATTTAAGAAAAGAGAGTAAAGCGTTTAGCATAGAGGGCGGATGGGTGTTGGGTCAGAGAGTGTTTGTGCCTATTTGTATGTGAGTGGGTTACCTTTCTAATGTTGGCTTTTGCAGTGTTTTGGACAATCTAAATTCTATTCCCCTTCGTTGAGTGGATGAGGAGTTGGAAGTTTATAATTGTGACATACACAACAGGTAAGAAAGAAGTATTTGACAATAAATGTCTTCACACAACCACTACCAATGAGTAAAAGCAAAAATTGTGTTGTAACATTATCATTCAATCCCTGTAATATGAGTCCAAATTGTAACATTTCTTCCAGGGTGTGTAAACTTTCAAGCATGACAATGTGTTAGTGATGAAGTGACTGAAGCTGTGTATTTGAAATAGGAACATGCTTCATTATGCTTGACTATAGTTTGGGCAACATAAAAAAGAAAATCAAAACATCAAGATGCTTTCCTTTGTCTCAGTCAAAATTAAACACCTTCAAATCCAGCATAAAAAAATCCATACCTACCGTGAAAAGCAAACGCCAATACCTCAATCTAACATGTGAACGCCAACCATTCCACATCAACACAAAACTGTAAAATGTAAATCAATATTTTGAAGCCTTCCTGGTTTTTATAGTCAAACATATGACATCATTTTACACTTAACCTTTACAGTCATTTTTTTCTGTGTATTTGCATCAAGAGCATTAAAGCTGGAGGACTTAACTTTGAAACCACAAAATAATAACTCATCATGAAAACTATGTAGCTAGGTTTGGTTCTATGACTAGTAAAAAGAGAGGACAAACCCTCAATCAGCCAATCAGCTTAAAGCAACAAACAGTGACTCACAGGGCTCTTTCAAGACATGTTTTCTAATAAGATAATATCAATAGTATGATGTGGTCTGATCTGTTCACACAATTTTAGTTTTAAGAACAACAAAACAATATACAACAGCATCTTAACAGCTGTAAATTTGTATAGTTGTTTGGCAAAAGATACAAAGTGCAACAGGAAAGTTCCATGTTGCCATCAGTGTGTCTCCAGTGTAGTTACCCAGTTGTCGGTGATGTCCCTCCTCTCCTGAAGCTTTTGCTGCAGTAGCGGCCCCACTCCTCCGGGGGCGCTGAACTGTTTGACCAGGCTCTGAGTGGTGTGGAACTGTTCCTCTGTGAGCAGGTGCTTCATGCTGCTCAGGTAGAGGGCCAGGGTGTCCGAGAGCTCCGGGAGGGGCAGCTTCGGGAGGGTCTGCAGGCACGAGCCGCAGACACAATAATTATATTACACTTACATTAGTTCATGAATTGGACTCTATAGAAATGCCATGGTGTCGACCAGCTTCTGGCGAGCTGGACTTGGCGACCATAGTTGTGTCCACTAGAGAGCGCATGAACATGTGAATAACCCCTTGTCTCAGTGTTGTTTCCGCCTGCACTTCCGACTCCGGTGTTGCGTCGCGCCAGCCTTCTCCTGCTCCAGGCAGTAGAGTTGTAGTGTTCATGCAAATATTTGTAGGTTGTAGCCACTAATTCTTATACTATTGTAGTGCCCCGGTGTTGCATGCTGTCCTGTCCCTTTGGGGTCCGAGTGTGTCGTAGCTGGCTGTCGGTCCGGGTTAGTAAACTGTCACTCTCCAAGGGTGCGCATTCAGCATTGCCTTAAAGTGTTTTTTATCTGTCGCACTCTGAAGGTATTGTGGTTTTTCAGAATAGCTAACTTGACACTACTGTAATCTATGGGCTGGGGAGTGGCCACATCACGGCCCACCTCGGTTTTTCCTGTTTTTTCTCCTGAATTTGCTCTTGTGGTTTTCCACTGTTTTCCAATACAATACAATGTATTCTTGTATAGCCCTAAATCACAACAGTAGTCATCTCAGAGGACTTGACAAAACCATTGCATTTGCCTAATACAAATCAGAGAATCAACAGTTAAGACAAAAAATAAAAAATAGTATTGGTCCATAGGGAGAGACCAATGTCCACTGTTTTCCCTCGTGCTCCTGAGTCCATCGCGACAGGAAATGTGTGACCATGTGGAAATGTGAAACCTGAAGATCAAACTATACAGCTTATTGAACTCAATCAAAGTAAGTTTGCCTCTGCCTCATTATGATTTAATGAACCTGTGCGCCTTAGTGCACTTTTTCTTTTTCTTGGGCATCCTTGCCCTGGCGTTGTTAATCTTTTAAAAATAATAATAATATCATTTTTATGAGCGCACAACCACCTCTACTTGCTGCACCCTCTCCAGCTAGAGAGGGCCTTCCTCAAGTGGAGGAGTTCAAGTTCTTGTGGATTTTGTTCAAGGTGAGGGAAGAATAAAGTGTGATATTGAAAGGCAGTGACTGTTTTGGTGCACAGGGAGCTGAGCCGAAAGGCAAAGCTCTCGATTTACGTCAATCTACGTCCCCACCCTCACCACTTATCATGAGCTTCGGATAATGACCAAAAGGACGAGATTGCAGATACAAGCGGTGGAAATAAGCTTCCTCCGCAGAGTGGCTGTGAGCTCCCTTAGAGACAAGGTGAGAAGCTCAGTCACACGGGAACAGCTTCCCCACATTGAGAGGAGCTTCCCCACGTTGAGAAGAGCTTCCCCTCGTTGAGAAGAGCTTCCCCTCGTTAAGAGGAGCTTCCCCATGTTGAGAGGAGCTTCCCCACGTTAAGAGGAGCTTCCCCACGTTGAGAGGAGCCTGAACTTGGCTCTAATAAACTTTGCTTTGCTCTACTCTCCCCTGAGTAGGAGTGCCTCCACCGGCCCTGTCCATGGTTACCAAGGAATTTCCACGAATACTGGTTTATTGTGGGCTGGTTGCTAGGATATAGTAAAACTAAGTGTTATGGATTATTCAGGCTTTTCAACACTAATGTTTAAAACTATACAGAGTTAAAAATAACAGTGTCTGTCATGCATTCAAACACTCGTACACTCACCAACACTATTCACAAATGGGTACAAGTTTGATTTGGTTTTAGCAGAGACTTAAACCTGGAGGGGAACTTCAGTGAAAAATCCTTATCGTGAGAGGAAAGCACCCATCATTCAGAGTACTGAGGGGAGACAGCAGACAGATTTTTTTTACGACTGCAAAAAAGGAGTGGCTCTCTGACTCTACTGTTGTATAAAAGTATCTCTCTGATTGAAAAAAGATTGGAGACCCCTGCATTAGAGCATTTTGTAAACAATCATAATAATAACATGAAATGGTATTAGAGGATGGATGTTTGACAATTTTGTAAAGTCCTCCAACATTACTGCGTGTTGCAAAATAGGGTTAGATCTGTAAAAATAAAGGACGTGAGATAGAATATCCCATGACGTAAGTACATTTTGTTCAGGTGGTGGGAAGTCCTGCTTCTCACTCCCTTTTGAGTTGATCAATTATAAATAATACATTTTCTTCTGCTTTATCAGTTGCCGGGTCGTGGAGGCAAGTCACTCCAACGTGTCCTGGGCCGTCCCCAGGGCCTTCTTCCAGTGGGACGGGCCCAGAACGTCTCCCCACAATGGATTTAAGCTAAAGCCATTGTGGTTAATACAGAACCAGAATATGAGAACTGTGTCTATGTCCTAATACTCATGGACCTGACTAATGTCCAGCTACAGCCTGTGACTCAAGGGAGAAAAGTGTCACCATTTCCATTTATCCTGTATATGACTGAAAACCAAATATTGACACATTCTACAAGTGGACAAGCATGTTTTTCTAAAGGAACATATCTTTCATCAGTTTCATGAAAAGTAATTAATTTAGAAGGACGTTTATAGCCTTCACTCACTTTTAAAACTGGTTTATCTATCTTGAAATACAAAATAAAACAGCTTGTTTGAAAGGCTGAACGCTAACGGCTGCAAGTATGTGTGTTGCTATGGTAATTAGCACTTCATGCTCTTCTCTGGTGGAAACCAAGCTCAGCCCAGAACCAGTCCAAGACCAGTCCAAGACCAGTCCAGGACCAGCAATTTGGAAGAAAGGTGCTTTAACTGAAGTAGAACAACTCACATTTCAAAAAATAAAAGTTAATTTGATAAAAGAAAATTAGAAATGCAATATACATGCAACATACAGATACATAAAAAGTTTTTGGAAGACCAAATATGTATAAAGCTTCAAAAACTAAAAGCCCTCAAATGGACTGCTCTGGGAATTATGTCAGCTCCTTCAGCAGCGAGCCACATTTAAATGTATTTCTCATTGTTATTCTTTTGAGAGCGAGATTGTAATGATAAGTTGTCTTCCACATATTCTAAGGCCAATCAATCTCATTTCGGGAATGAATCACAAATGGTAATAACAATTAAGAAAAGATGAAATTCATTGAGTATCCCCTGAATCACACTGTTGTGAAATGTGTCTTATCTGGGAAAGGGGATTAGTCCAAACCCCACAGCTGCACATCTTACATTTTAGACAGTTATGAAATGTGGTCACAGCCTTTGGACAGGTACAGTTAGAATTAAGATCTAGGAATACTTTATTGTAGATCAGAACAGATAAGTTATCACAAGTCATACCCTCCCGTCGTGTTAAATACCTTTTTATGGTTTTATGGTTTCAACTTTCATTACAGCTATTCTGTTTTTAATACAAAGACTTCCAGCTTGTTTTTCTGTCTGTGATAAACAGTGTTCAAAGGATGCTCAATCTCAGCCCAGTAGAGAGTCCCAGAAAACCACCACCATCATTACAATAGAATGCATTTAGTTTCACATCAGTGTAACATGTAACAAATATTCTGTGCCCCACAATCATTTAACACAGAATAAGACAATCATTTAAGACAAGTGCAGAATCCAATGAGTAATAAGGATGGACACTCACATTGTCTGCTTTGTCTTTGGAGGACTTTCTGCGCAGGACTGGCATGATGGCGCGGGCTCAGGTCACACGGTGGATTCTTTACACAAACGAACCAATAATAGAATAAAATTAAACTCTATTCTAAAAACGGTTTGTATTCAGACTCAGTAAAGCACACTTTACCACTAATCCTTTCTCACTCTTCAACATTTATGGCAATCTTCCATATTTAAAATGCAAAATGACAGATAACTGATATAGTATGGTTAAAATATGTCTAAACTGTGCATGATAATTCATACAGTCTCTCAAATGTTAACTTTATACATTTCAAAAACGCCGTGCAGCTGACATCAATCACCATTACGCACATGTAAAAAATGAGCGCATCTTCTCTTGTTCTCTCCAATGCCAGTTTATTTTGATTCTTTATCACTTTTGTGTGTTCTGACATTGTGGAGAAATACATGTCCCTGATCCATAACAGCTGTGTCCTTTAAAAACATACTGATTCGCCCGTGCGTAAAATGTCTTAAGAAAGTCTATAATTCTACGCGTAAACTGAACTAGAGGGAGTATGGACACACGTTTAGTCTGAAGTGCACTTTCAATAATACAAATATGAGTGAACATGCTAAATAAAAAGTCTTACCGGTTAGAAGGAGCCCGTGCGTAAAGCTGATATGTCCATGCGCGCATCACTCACGCCATGGACAAAGCGTTCCCTGCGCGTGTGTTTTGCGGTGTGCGTGGAGGCGCAGCTGCCACCTCGCTCTCCAGGCACGCAGGCTCCTCCTCCCATAATTCCCGCAACTTTATTTGGCACCTGACACCATACAGCACCACTTTATCTTCATCAGTGCACGTTTGGGGGAGCGCACGGGATTGGTGTCCGGGTTCTTGGAGTGATTTCCAATATTTTCCAGCAGATATTGTTTATTTATGAGACGTGTTCTTGATTGAATCGCTCTATTTGCAAATAGTCTCCGGCCATGAAGATGGACAGATACTGAGTGGCCTTGTGCGTGGCCTGCAATGTGTCATGTGTGCAGAAGGTTCATTATAAAGCCTAACAGACTTTGCTTCTAATAGTTTTATGGCCTTTTTACATGAACCATCCACATGTTGTGCGTAAAACAAAAAGGCAGAGCATAAGTACGGATCAGAAGTTTGTGTCCACTTGATTTAATTATATACATGATATACATGAATGTACAGGGAGCTCATATACAGGAGGCTATGCATTCCACAGAACATCATTCAAAATCAAACAGTCACACACATATTGCATATTGAGTTAGCAGCAAAAAGAAAACAGCGAGCACTGCACGAGGCCTTGACATGACAGTCGCTCTTAAGACTTCAGTCCCTGAGTCTCAAAGCCACAGTGATAAATACAGTGTTAATAAACGAACATCGATCTAATTAACTATACGTGATGTGACAATACTCAGAGGAGGCTTCCGTGACGCATGGATAATGCTGTTAGTACACAACAGTAAAATGAGTGGGTGGACGGGATGCACATGGTTACATTGGCACTTGGATAGAGGAACAGTGCGTCTTTACGCATACTCTCCACCTGAGGACTCCTCCTCTGAGAAGGAGCGCTGTGCGAACGTCTCGATACCGTTCTCGTCTATAGTGGTGCACAGGCCCTTCTTCTTCTTCTCACGATGTTCCATCTTGATGGTGTCATACAGGCCCGTGGGGCCGTCCTCCAGTAGCATGTTCCTCTCGGAGTAGGACGGCTTCATCTTGGACACGTTCTTGAGAAGCAGCAGCGCGGGTGCGTAAAGCATGTTGGCAAGGCCCATGCCCAAGTTCAACTGAATGAAGCCCAAGTCATGTACTATCTTCCCCGCCACGATGGGCCCCATGGCGTATGCCACACAGTACGAGATGTCAGCGATGGCGTACACGCTGCCGTACACGGACACGTGCCTCACGTCCACCAGGAAGGCCAGAGTTGGCAACAGGGCCGTGTCCACGAAGGCGATGCCAAAGCAGATTCCACACAGCGGTACCATGAGCTGTCCAAAGGTTTTACACGCGGGGATGGTGCACGAACTCGCGCCTATAAACACCATGCCCAAGGCCCCATAGAACCACTGCAGGTGCGGGTATTTAGCCGCCAGTTTGACCGTCAAAAACACCCCCAACACGTGCGGGAAGAATGCAGGGAACCACGTCATGCCGACCTCCCACTGCTCCGAGTGCATGGTCTCCTCCATCCAGTTCGCGATGGTGGGCTCCAGGAAGGCCAGCGGGATGTTACAGACGATGAGCGCGCCCCCCACCACCGCGATGTACGGGTCCACCATGAGCTTGTAGATGGGAGTCCCCACGGGCATGTTCTCGCGCTCTTTGTTGGAGAAGGGCTTGAGCACGACCAGGCACATGATCCCGTCCCCCAGGCACATGGCCGCCAGCACCATGAAGGGCACGTGTTGGCCGGCAAACTCATAGAGGAAGCCGCCAAAAGGGGGGGCCACCAAGCTTCCGAAGGAGATGAAGGCCAGGGCGATGCCCAGTGCCCTGCTGCGCGCCGCCTCCTCCGTGTACCTGTCCGCGATCAGCGCGATGCCAGAAGTGTCTGCGAAGGCCGAGCCCAGGCCCTGCATGCTGCGCGCCAGGAACAGCGTGGAATAGTTAGAGGCGAAGGCGAAGATCACAGTTGACAAGAACATGATATTGAGGCCGATGAACAGGGGAATGTCGTAGCCCACGCGGTCGATGAAAGTGCCGCTCAAAGGGTTCACCAGCAGCTGCACCACAGCTTTGGACGCGAACAAAACTCCTATCTGCAAGTCAAAGTTCTCCTTGGTCTCTTTGTGCACGGTCCCGTTTGTAAAGTTTGTGTGCACAACCCCGTGCGCCGCTTGTTTCTGCAGCTCCACCAGATAGTCCGGGATAATGGGCACGATCACCATATACAGCATGTTGTCCAGCAGCAGAGCCACGCACACGATCACCAGGATGATGCGCTTCTGCCGCTCCGGGTCCTGGATGGCGGTGCCCAGCTGCTTGGTCCTCTCGCTCATCTGGGACAGTTTGGAGGCGGCAGTGTGCGCCAGGTTAGTGGCGGCAGTCGCGGTCTCGGTGCTGCCTTCTGGCTCCATCACGTCTGTTTGCAGCGGCTCCAGGATCAAACTGTTGATAGTTCACAGAGAAGAGCGCGCGTGGATCATGAGTTCAATCTTTTATCCAGTAAAAGTTCCACTCTTTAGCTGGGCTCTTTTCCGAGCACTCTGCGTGTCATTGCTGGCACGAGCCCACTCTTGTGATTCGGACTGGCGCTGTCCCCGTGGCCCCTGCGCTCCTCTGTCTCATGACCGCACATTCAGGTGACGCGCTGGTCCGGGGCAGCGCGCACTGGTCTGAGAGGAGCTGGATCCGCGCGCTCTGCTCCTTGTGCCGCTCACCGAGAACACTCGTGTCTGTTCCCACTCATCGTGTGGCTCGTGCAGGAGTGCTTCTGTTGGCCCTGGACACAATCCAGTGTGCAGTTTGTTCATTCCCCTGTGCCCCCCTCCCCTTTCGCTCTGCAGAAATGACGCACGGTCCCGCGGCTCTCCACAACGTCTTTATGCTAATTAACTCCAGAGACACGAACACACTGTGTTTATCCACTTTACGTGTTCTGTCTTTGAGGGTTCCACTTTCATCTGCAAATAAAATAAATCAGACGCTGCGTAAAAGCAGTCACGCGCTCTCGGACTGGCTTCAGCACCACGCGTCAGTGGACAGCTCCGGGACACGTATAAAGAGCGGATAAATCACCGAACAGAATTCTAGTGTTGGAAGTCTTTCTGCCAGCGCCCTTTTCTAATAAACATCTTTGTTTGTTCAGCTTGAGAGAAGAAGACTTAATTTAGTGTTAAATAAATCTATGAGACTTCTGCTGGACTTGTTTAAGAGAAAACCACAGAGCCCTGACGTGCTCACGGGGCCTCTGAAAATTAAATAAAATGTGATTCACGACAGTGGATTTACCTACACTTAACGCTTAGCTATGCTCTGTCCAACTGCATCTCAATGCTGCCCTCTGCTGGACCATGCACGTGTCACATCGTTTGAAGGGACTATATACACCAGGGTCGGAAACCTAAAGTGTTCAAAGATCCATATTTGACGAAAAAAACAAAACATCTGTCTGGAGCTGCAAAAAACAGTCTTATATGAAGGTACCATTCGGTGGAAAATAAATCCTTATTACATGCTCCAATCCAAGGATTACATGCTCAAACACCACAGACTAAAACATGGGATTTATACAAGAACAGTGCACTTTTCTTTTACAAAGAATGTCTTTGCACATTTAATTCAGTCAGTTTACTATCAGAATCAGAATCATTTTTATTGCCAACGTAAGTAACGGGAGGTCACAGACTTGGAAATTGCTTTGGCTCAGTGCAACAGTCAAAAAGAGATAATAAAAATAAGAATAAAAAACACTTCTAAAGAATAAATTTAAATTTAAAATAGAGTTACAGTTACTATTTACAATATACAAGTGCACATGGTGCACACAATGTAAGGTGACAGCAGTACAGTGAAGTAAAGTGACGTATGATGGGCAGTAAAGTGACTTTATAAAGGGCGGGGGGACAGGTTAAGAAGTGTTCAAGAGTCCAACAGCAGAGGGGAAGAAACTGTTCTTTGTGGCGGGAGGTTCTAGTCCTGATGGACCGCAGCCTCCTGCCTGAGGGGAGTGGTTGGAATAGTCCATGTGCAGGGTGAGAGGGGTCGGCTGTGATACGACCAGCCCGGCCTCGAGCTCGGGCGACGTACAGGTCCTGCAGCGATGGAAGGCTGCGGCCGATCACTTCCTCTGCAGAGCGCACAATGCGCTGTAGTCTCTGTTTGTCCCTGACTGTGGCTCCAGCGAACCACACGGTGATGGAGGAGGTGAGGATGGACTCGATGATGGCCGTGTAGAACTGCACCAACATCTGTGCAGGCAGCTTGGCTTTCCTGAGCTGCCGCAGGAAGTACATCCTCTGCTGGGCCTTCTTGATGAGGGAGCTGATGGTCGGCTCCCACTTGAGGTCCTGGGTGATGGTGGTGCCCAGGAAACGGAAGGACTCCACAGAGGTGATGGGGGAGTCCATCACGGAGGGTGGGGGCGGGGGGACAGTGCTCTTCCTGAAGTCCACAATCATCTCCACTGTCTTCTGGGCGTTCAGCTCCAGGTTGTTACCACTGCACCAGGACACCAGCCGGTCCACCTCCCTCCTGTAGGCGGACTCATCGTTGTTGGAGATGAGTCCAATGAGGGTGGTGTCGTCCGCGAACTTGATCAGCTTCACGGAGTCGTGGCTGGAGGTGCAGTGGTTGGTGTACAGGGAGAAGAGCAGGGGAGAAAGAACACAGCCCTGTGGGGCTCCTGTATTTATAATCCGAGAGTCCGAGACATTCTTCCCCAGACGCACTCGCTGCTTCCTGTCCATCAGGAAGTCAGTGATCCACCTGCAGGTGGAATCGGGCACGTTGAGCTGGGAGAGCTTGTCCTGGAGCAGGGATGGCAGGATTGTGTTGAAGGCAGAGCTGAAGTCCACGAACAGGACCCTGGCGTAGGTCCCCGGGGAGTCCAGGTGCTGTAGGATGTGGTGGAGGGCCAGGTTAATGGCGTCGTCTACAGATCTGTTGGCTCTGTAGGCGAACTGCAGGGGGTCCAGGAGGGGGGAGGTGAGGGACTTGAGATGGGAGAGAACCAGGCGTTCAAATGACTTCATGACGACAGACGTAAGTGCTACAGGTCTGTAGTCATTGAGTCCTGTGATCCTGGGCTTCTTCGGGACGGGGACAATGATGGAGGATTTGAAGCAGGCCGGGACATGGCAGGACTGCAGAGAGGAGTTGAAAATGTCCGTGAACACAGGAGTAAGCTCACTGGCGCAGTGTCTCAGAGTGGCCGGAGACACGTGGTCCGGGCCAGGAGCTTTGCGGGGGTGCAGCCTCAGGAAGAGTTGTTTAATCTCTTTAGCGGCTATTGTTAGGCTGGGGGCAGGGCTGATGGGTGGGTCGTTAGAGTAGTGGGGGGTGGGGGAGGGAGAGGTGTCAGGGGCAGCATCAAAGCGACTGAAAAATAAGTTCAGATCGTCAGCTAGCTTGTGGTCATCAGCACAGGGGGGGGCTTTGGGTTTGTAGTTGGTGATCTCCCGTAGGCCCCTCCAGACAGAAGCAGTATCGTTGTTACCAAACTGCTCCTGTAGTCGTTCTCTGTGCCGGGACTTGGCTGCTTTCAGTTCTTTCCTGAACTGATATTTAGCTGCTTTGTAGCCGCTGCGGTCCCCCTCCCTGAAAGCAGACTCCTTTGCTTTCCTGAGCTGCCGGAGTTTAGCAGTGAACCAGGGTTTGTCGTTGTTATAGATGACCCTGGTCCTTGTTGGAATGATGCTATCCTCACAGAAGTGGATGTATGACGTCACAGTGTCCGTATATTCATCCAAACTGTCTGTGGCAGCTCTGAAAAGGTCCCAGTCTGTAGATTCCATGCATGCGCGCAGCTCTTCCACAGCTTCATCAGACCACACTTTGGAGCTCCTCACTGCAGGTTTCGAGAGCTTTAGTCTCTGTCTGTAAGCAGGAACCAGATGTATCATGGAGTGATCTGAGAAGCCGAGGGCTGGCTTGGGAACAGCGCGAAAAGCTCCGCGCACGGTGGTGTAACAGTGATCCAGAGTGTTCTCCTCTCTGGTCGGGCATTTGATAAACTGTCTGTATTTGGGTAATTCCTGGCTCAAGTTTCCCTTATTAAAATCCCCCAGGATAATAATCAGAGAGTCCGGGTATAAGCGTTCCATACACAGTACTTGCTCTGCGAGTGCGCGCTGAGCCTCGCGCGCGTCCGCGCATGGCGGTATGTAAACAGAGGCAAGAATGAATGAAACAATTTCCCGCGGGGAGTAATATGGTTTACAATGAATGAAAAGATATTCCAGAGCAGGAGAGCAGTGCTTGGAGATCACTGTCACATCGTTACACCAGTTTGTATTGACGTAGAAACAGAGCCCTCCGCCTCTGCTCTTCCCTGAGAGCGCACAATGGCGATCCGCGCGAAACAGCCCAAAGCCCTGCAGCTCCAGAGCGCAGTCCGGGATCCGCTCATTTAGCCAGGTCTCAGTGAAGCAGAGGACACAGGATGTGGCGAAGTCCTTGTTTCTTCTCATGAGCAGGCTGAGTTCGTCCATCTTATTGCCCAGTGAGCGTACGTTGGAGAGAAAAATGCCGGGGAGAGCCGTGCGCGCTCCTCTCCTCCTAAGACGCACGAGCAGGCCTCCTCGCTTTCCCCTTTTACGGGCCCACACTTTTTTGGCTAGAACATGAACTAAATCAGCCGCAGATGCCAAGAAAACAGGCAATAGGTCCATGGGAACGGTGGGTCGGATGTTCATAAGTTCCTCACGGGTGTAGGAACAGCCAGATGCACAGTTAAAAAGTAAAAACAAAAGAAAAAGAGAGCAGCAAAGAGCCATGTCGACCGTACGAGGCGCCATCTTGAATCAAGGAATAAAAGTCCCTTGTCTAGAAACCATACGTGTCTAGACAAGGTGTAGGTGCATCACAACCAAGGCACACTGCACAGAAGATGATTTTGACAAACGTCACTTATTAAAGTGATTTATGTTACTCATTCACTTCTCACAACAGCAGAAAACAAAGGGCACAACTGGAAGAGGATTAAGTTGGAAATTATCTCCAGCACTAATGGAGAGACACTGATGGACACTGATGGACTAGAAAAACAACTTGAAGAGCATAGGCCCTGTCACTTCTAAAGATGAAATCCCACTTTCTCCTCCAACGGTTGATAAAAGAAGTAATTGAACAACTTGTACAAATGTGCGACTTGTCAAAGCCACTCTTGCATAAGTCTATAAAATACATTTTAAAATGTTCTTTATCATAAAAACAACTTTCCTATTGTGAAACCAGTTAAGTTCTTTATTGAGCGATTAAAAAAGGCACTGTAGTGTAGGTCCCACTAAATCCAGTGCTACAGAAAATGTTGGACAAGACTGATATTATTAACAAGGCTTTAAAGGTACCACAGTCACTGCCTCATATATATAACAAAGACATGCCTCGCACTACAAGACAAATGAGCAGTTTCAAGCTCAGATTGATTGAAAATAGCACTTGTGCGGTACATTGATGATTTTGCAGTATCAAATATTTTGGACACTTCAAGGAAAAATATCTTAAACAGGGAGCAGGTTTGGGAAACAGCATTTCGTGGAGTCCCTTTGTGGCTAGTCCATTCTGTCATGATGGAAGAAAGTGAAGGAGGACCCAAACAGTGGGAATGCAAAAAATAAAGATTAAATGAAGACAACAAAATAAAAGCCCCAGGTTAAAAATAAATAAAAATCATAAATATAGACAGGCCAAGACAATGAACCAGCAACAAGGAGGGGTACATATAGAGATATAGATACAGGTAAATAAATTTTGAATTTCAAGTTTTTACAAAGTTTTCAGTCATGATAATCAAAAGTGAAGTTGTCACACAGCTCCCTCATGTCCCTTAGAGCCTGCTCCACGGCTCTGCAGAAGTCCACTGAGCAGGTGTGGGGGCTGTCGGCGAAGCTGGAGATGCTGAAGATGATGTAGTCGGACTGAGGGTTGTAGTAGGCTCCATACCCTCCTGGGACCACGGGGCCGTAGCCGGAGAGCAGCTCCACAGTGGTAGGAACCTGGAGACAGGAGGAGGATTATTCCAGTATCAGGAGTGTTTCAGTTTAATGTGTGAGTGTCAGGGATCTGGATCCTGTCTCTCAGTCTCCTGTCAGCTTCTTTGAATATCATTATTATCTTTGACTTTTTGTTTTCTGCATTATTTGATCCAGTCGTTATAATATAGAGTGCTTCTCTATTTAATCCTGGTCATGATCAAACACACACAAAGGCATCACGTGTCTCCACCATTTATTGAGAATGTAGAGAAATTAAGAGACAACTGGATCTCTTTGAGAAGACGTTGTTGGGAACTTCTCCAGCGAGACACGATGGTCCATGGCCTATGTTTGGATGGGACTCCCCAGGCCTTTATGGGCACACAATTATCCAGCTGGTCAGCCTCTGTGAAGTTCTGAGGGACTTGTGTTTGGAACAGAATGGAACAGTTCTTGTAGAGTGTAGCATAAAGTAAAGTGTTTTGGTTGATAATGATTGAATATTTGTGCCTCAGAACACTGGTACCTGACTCGTGGAGAGAATGAACTGGTTACTGATGAGATAAGCTTCATCCTTGAATATCTCTGGCGTCTCCATCTTCAGCTCACGTGCTATTTCCCGTAGTCCCAGAAGGTGATTGTCTATGGCCCTCCCTGTAATCGCCTGAAACAGGAAAAATAACTTTATTTACCAAGCATTATTCATAATATTTATGCACTTTTAATGATGCCACTTACCAGAATAGTGTACTTTGTTTGTGCGGCCATAGCGCCTTGTAACAACTCCATCTTCTCCTAGGACAGAGAATCAATAATCTATTAATATCAGACTAAATGCAGAGTGAAGGAGAGATGACATGACAGCCAGAAAAATGACAGTTAGAATATAAATGGATTTATTACCCGGAAGGATTTTTGTGTTTTAAATATTCAACACTAATGAAATATGTCGACAAACAGGTGTTGCTCATATTATAACATACATTATAACATACATTTTCTCGTTGTGTTTTTGAGGAGAAAGGATGGAAAGTTACATCCAACAAACACTACACCTGCTGTAAAGTATGGGGGTGGAAACATTCCTACTTTGGAAGTGCTTTCTACAAACGGACCAGGACAATTAATCCGTGTAAAGGAACGAATGAATGGGGTCATTAAAACCTATCCAGAACAATAAAAGATACAAACACACGGAATCCCCCACAAAATCCGTTTATCAACGGCATGTGAGTTTGATTGTTCTGTTTTTTTCACAGTGGTGGTGTGGCAGGAGGCTGCACCCTATCTCATTCTGGATTAACCTAGCTTTGCAGGTTTGCTTGTTGACAAACTGTTATTTTCATCAATGTCTGGCCTCAACTCTGCCCCAGCTGTGTACTTCTGTCCAGGGGCACTGTCTTGGTCCTCCTCTGGTCCTCAGGTCAAAGCTCCCACAGGCGCCTCATACATTCCTCTAATGTTTGGAATACATTACAAGCCTAATTTTTTTCAAATTAAGGGTTGTTTTCACTCAGATAATAAAACCGTAAACTGTTTTGCGCCCCAGTTTGAATGTTCCACAGTCCAGGGGTTGGGGAGGTAACAGCTTACATTTCATTACATTTGTGGCAAGAAAACCTTGAGGAAAACTTCAGGAATAGTTGCCGTCAAGCTAATACGATATTGTTTTTTTCTTTTTTTTTTTTAACAATAAAATGCATATTCTAATACAAAGTGCTGCTGAATTAATGATGTCTAACACATTATGTTGATTACCCAAATCAATCTAAAATACGCTTTAACAACTAGTCACAACACATTTATTTAACAGTCATCCGAAGGTGTAGATAGAGCAATAGAGAGATTTTTACTTCCACAAACTGGTTCACTTTAGTGACTTCTGCTGTGGGGCAATAGCAACCACAGGTGGGATAGACTTAAAGTTTTCAGCAGACAAAGGCTGAAAACGGGTCATTATTTTGAGTGTTATTAGCTTGTATAACAAATTAAATACATTGTGCATAAATATGATAAAACAGTTTAACCAGTGACTGAAACTGCAGGTCAAACCTGGCAAACCCAAGCGTGTGGTGAGGGTCTGCGGGGAACGTCTTGCTGAGCCCCCTGTCTGACGGACTGTCAACTCGCACCTCCGGAAGAGATTCTCCCAGGTCCCGGGGGAGGAGGGGGACATCAAGTCTGAGTGGACCATGTTCTCCACCTCTATCCCCGATGCGGTGGCTTGTAGGCCACAAGGTCTCTGGTGCTGGTCCTGGCGGCAACCCCTGAACCCGTTGGTGGAAACCGGCATTAAGGGATGCCGTCAGGCTGAAGAAGCAGTCCTATCGAGCCATGATGGTTCGTGGGACTTTGGAGGCAGCTGTCCAGTACCGGCAGGCCAAGCGTCCCGGGCTGTTGCAGAGGCAAAAACCCGGGACTGGGAAGAGTTCGGAGATTCCATGGAGCATGACTATCAGTCGGGCCGTCTGACCTCGACTGGGGATATTGTCGGGCGGTGGAAGGAATATTTCAAGGTTCTCCTCAATCCCCCCGTCACGTCCTCTGTCCCGGAGGCAGAGGCTGAGGATGTTGGAGCGGATACTTCCATCTCCCTGGCTGAGGTCACCAAGGTGGTTGGCAGCCTCCTTGGTGGCAAGGCTCCAGGAGTGGCTGAGATCCGTCCTGACTATCTAAAGTCTCTGGATGTTGTAGGACTGTCTTGGCTGACACGTCTCTGCAGCACCGCGTGGCGATCGGAGGCAGTGCCAACGGAGTGACAGACCGGGGTGGTGGTCCCTCTCTACAAGAAGGGGGACCGCAGGGTGTGTTTTGATCACACTCCTCAGCCTCCCCGGTAAGGTCTACTCCAAGGTACTGGAGAGGAGACTTTGGAGAATGGTCGAATCTCAGATTCAGGAGGAGCAGTGTGGTTTTCGTCCCAGCTGCTACGTTCGCATTGCCGGCAGTAAGTCAGACCTGTTCCCGGTGCATGTTGGCCTCCGCCAAGGTTGCTCTTTATCACCGGTTCTGTTCACTGTATTTATGGAAAGAATTTCTAGGCGCCTGTCTGGTTCGGAGACCACAGGATTTCATCTCTGCTGTTTGCGGACGATGTTGTCCTGTTGGCTCCAACGAACCAGGACCTGCAACATGCACTGGGACGGTTTGCAGCCGAGTGTGAAGCGGCTGGGATGAGAATCAGATTCAGATTCAGTTTATTTGCCATTTGCAGTAAAAAAAACCACATTGGAATACATTAGCAAAAGTCACCAGTGTGCACAGACAAATAAAGACATAAAACAACATTAAAAGACAAAAATAAAACAAATAAAACAGTAAACAAATGTCACTGTGAAATCGATCGACTAAAACAGTTTCAAAACAAGTGCAAATCATTAAAGTGCTCTGTTCACACTGATAACAGCTTGTGGATAAAAACTGTTAGCGTAACGAGATGTCCTGCATCTCAGAGAGCAATATCTTCTGCCAGAGGGAAGAAGCTGGAACATGGCTTTTCCAGGGTGGCCAGAAGAGTCATTAACAATCTTAAGAGCTCTGTTTAAAAGTCTGGATTTATAAAGAACCTCCAGAACAGGAAGCTCACAGCCCACGGTCCTCTTTGCAGATCGGAGCACCTTGTTTAAAGCTTTCTTTTCTTTATCTGTGATGTTTCCAAACCATACAGACACAGAACCAACAAGTAAACTCTCAATGGTGCAGCGATAAAAGTTAAGCAGAATCTTAGAGTTAGTGGTAAATTCTCTAAGTTTACGCAGAAAGTAGAGACGCTGACGAGCTTTATTAACGACTTGGTCAGTGTTTTTAACCCATTTCAGGTCGTTAGACAGAGTTAAACCCAGAAACTTGCATTCCTCTACGATCTGCACCTGGGAGTTGTCGATTACGACAGGCAAATGAGAACTATTGCGACTGAAATCGTAGACCAGTTCACATGTTTTCAATGCGTTCAACTGGAGGTTGTTAGTTTTACTCCACTGAACCACATTTTGTATCTCTGCTCTATAAGAGGATTCATCATTGTCACTGATGAGACCGATGATGGTGGTGTCATCAGCATATTTGATGATCAAGTTTGAGTCAGCGGAGGTCACAAAATCGTGAGTGTACAAAGTAAAAAGCAAAGGACTCAAAATACATCCCTGAGGAGAACCAGTGCTCACAGAAACAACATCAGAAAAACAGTCATTGATTTTCACTCTCTGAGATCTGTCAGTTAAAAAGCTAAAAATCCATTTACACATGGCAACACTTAAACCGAGAGACATGAGCTTTTCAATCAGTTTACCTGGGACAAGGCAGTTAAAAGCAGAGCTATAATCGATGAAAAGCATTCTCGCGACAGATTTACTAGTGTCCAAGTGACTGTAGACAGAGTTCAGAGCAAAGGAGATGGCATCCTCCACACTCCTGTTCTGTCTGTAAGCAAACTGGACGGGTCAACACTCACAGGGATCTGGCTCTTAATGAAGTCCAGCACAAGCCGCTCAAAAGTTTTCATAAGAACAGACGTGAGGGCCACAGGACGATAGTCATTCAGGCATGTCACAGGAGTTTTCTTAGGAACTGGAATGATGGTCGACTCTTTAAAGCAGTTCGGCACAGTACAGTTCCTTAGCGACAGGTTGAAAATGTCTGTTAGCACAGGGGCAAGTTGCTCAGAGCACAGTTTCAGGACACGAGGAGGGATGCCGTTCGGGCCTGGGGCTTTCCGGACTATGGTCCTGGACAAGACACGCCTGACTTCCTCCTGAGTCACGGTGAAGGCAACTTGATTGAAACACTCAGGAAATACAGTAGGACTGGCATCAGCGGATTCAAAGCGACAGTAGAACGTGTTCAGCTCGTTTGGCAGAGCTTGGCCGACAGATGCAATTTTCCCAGCGCTAGGTTTCCACGATGTGATGGCTTTAATACCATTCCACATGCGCCGAGGGTCATCTTCCTCAAAATAACTCTTTAACCTGTCCCCGTAACTGCGCTTTGCAGATTTAATAGAACGTTTCAATGAGTAACAGGATAGCTTATAAGCAACTGTATCATTTGATTGAAACGCCAACGCACGCTCATAAAGTTTCAGTTTCACTTCCGCGTTCATCCAAGTGTTTTGACTAAAATGTTCTTTAATGACCTTCTGTGGGACACAACAGTCAATACAGAAGCGTATGTATCCAGACACAGCATCGCAGAATTCATTGACGTCCTCTGACTGAAACACAGACCAGTCCGTAGCATCAAAACAACCTTGTAGCTTCATGCTAGCCTCCTCAGACCAACACTGCACAGTGCGAGAGGTTGGTTTATGTTCCCTGCTCCTCTGAGTATACGAAGGAAGAAGGAGAACAGAGGAGTGGTCAGACTTTCCAAAAGGAGGTCTGAGACTGGACCTGTAAGCTCCCTTCACGTTACTGTAGCAGTGATCCAGAACATGTGCTCCTCTTGTAGCTTGAGTCACATGTTGGTAAAACTTTGGGAGTACAGTCTTTAAATTACATTTATTGAAATCCCCAGCAACAATGATGACTGCGTTAGGATGAGCAGACTCATGATTGTGAAGGATCTCGCTCAGATCCTGTAGGGCTACTTTGTAATCCGCACGTGGGTGAATGTAAACAGCACATAAAAATATCACTGAAAACTCACGGGGAAGATAAAAAGGGCGGCAGCTCAAGACCAGGCATTCCAGATTGGCAGTACATGTTTGGTTCACGATTCGAGTGTCCGTGCACCAGCGCTGATTAATTAAAAAGCACACACCTCCGCCTCTGGCCTTGCCCGTGGTCTCCTTCACTCTGTCCGCGCGGTGAGCGGTGAATCCCGGGGGCTGAACAGCAGAGTCCGGGACGTTTGAGTGGAGCCACGTCTCGCTGAGGCAGAACACAGCGCAGTCCCGGGCCTCGCGCTGGCTCTGGACCCGACACAAGAGCTCGTCCGTCTTGTTGGGCAGAGACTGGACGTTGGCCAGGTAGATGGAGGGCAAAGGGGTACTGGAGGAGCGGCTACGAACGAGCAGACCGCCTCGCCTTCCCCGGTGTCTGCGCCTCCTTCGCCGACTCGAGGTGCCCAGCTCCACACAGCGAAGAGAACGCCGGAGACGCCCAGTCCCCTCGCTCTGTTGGCGGCCACCGCCGCGGCCCGCCTGCCGTGCTCCACCAGCCTCTCGGGTGGGACACTCGAGGAAGTTTGTGCACCTCAGTTCAGGTAAAACGAGTGACCTGTCACCCGCGTGGTCCCGAATGTACAGAAGTGTCTGCCGATCATATTTCACTGTGGCAAGTGAATCCCAGACGAAAAACAACAAAACACAGATTGTGCGCACCAGAGCGTTCACTGCGGCGCCCTAACACGGCGCCATCTTGCTAGTCCTCATGCTCTCTCTCTCTCAGCCGAATCAGCACCTCCAAACCCAAGGCCATGGTGCTCAACAGAAGGTGCTTTGCCCTCTCCAGGTGGGTGGAGCAGTCCTTCCCCAAGTGGAGGAGTTCAAGTATCTCGGGGTCTTGTTTACGAGTGAGGGAAGAAACGAGCATGAGATTTACAGGCGGCTCGTGCAGCGTGCGCAGTGATGCGGTCGCTCAATCGGACCGTTGATGTAAAGAGGGAGTTGAGCCGGAAGGCAATGCTCTCAATTTACCGCTCAGTCTTTGTTCCCTCCCTCACCTATGGTCATGAGCTTTGGGTAATGACCGAAAGAACAAGATCACGAATACAAGCGGTCGAAATGAGCTTCCTCCGGAGAGTGGTTGGGGGCTCCCTTAGAGATAGGGTGAGGAGCTCAGTCACACGGGAGGAGCTCGGAGTAGAGCAGCTGCTTCTCCACATCAAGAGGAACCAGTTGAGGTTGCTCTGGCATCTATTCCGGATGCCTTCTGGACGCCTCCGGGCACGTCCCACCGGGAGGAGGCCCCGGGGAAGACCCAGGACATGCTGGAGGGACCATGTCTCTCAGCTGGCCTGGGAATGCCTTGGGGTTCCCCCAGTTGAGATGGAGGAAGTGTGTGTAGATAGGGAAGTCTGGGCGTCTCTGCTTAGACTGCTGCCCCCGCGACCGGGCAACGAATGAAGTGAAAGAAAATTGAATGGAATGAAACTGCAGGCAGAACACGCATTTTTATTTGAAAACTTACACTTGAACTCAGCTTCCCATCAGCCATTGCTCTCACGAAGTCCAGTGCCTGGGGTGTGGCTGAGCGGATGTTTTCCCAGCGTCCCTCTTTGAAGTGGCGAGTGGAAGCGCTCTCGCAGGTGGACACCAATCTGCCGTGACATCTAGAAGTGGACACACATGTTTTATGATATCATAACATGCCTCTCGCCAGAGATCCATGCTCTACAAGTGACACATTGCAGAGTTTCCAACAAATCCAAAAATAACTAAGTGTGTCTTCAGCTGCGGAGAGAGAACATAATACAGAGCTCTGATTACTTTTATGCTGTGGTTTCTGATAAACTGAGATTACGTTCATCCATCCTTCCAATGACTTTGGGGAAATCTGTTAGGAGCAGTGGCTGCAGGTCACTCTGGGTCCAACAGATGTTGAGTATTCCTGTTTGTTTTCACCACAAAGCAGATCGAGGTTCATATTATCTTCTGCATGTCAGTAACTTCACATGTACAGTATTTAATGCTTAAAATATCTTTGCCAACCTGGCCCTGTACAAAATTATATTTAAAAGACTCTCCTCTTGGTAGAATCACCATTAGTAAGATTTGCAGATCCGGAGAGCTAAACCAATGAGGAGGGGCCCCATTATTTTGTCCACTCAGGAGATAGGGGTGCTGAGCTTGCGTTTAAATATTACATTCTTAATGCAAATAAATAGGAGGGTTGCAATCATATCCAGATTATAATGGTGTCTTCTCTTACCTGTAATAGGCTAACTGCAGAGCCACTTGGATGTAGGCGTCCGGACTCATCTTCTGGTTCTTTATAAACTCTTTCCCGTACTCACAAAACTTGGACACCTTCATATCCAGATTTTCCACCAATCTGGGCACAAAAAAGCACTTTAGTTTCTTGTATTTCATACTGTTTTAGTGCCTTTCCGCCCTGACCTGTGCAGCTTATCGGCCGATGACGACAGCAGTTTGTGGATCTCTGTTGTGCACTTCCAGCGGAGCCTCCGCGGGGCCGGCAGCTCGCTCACACTGGCTGCTCGCACTAGTTTGGATGGGCTTCCAATCCTAGGAGAATGATACATGTCAGTATGCAGCCTGAAGTCCAATCTGGCTTCTATAACACCTTACATGTATTTGAGGAGACGCTCCGCAACCTGGAAAAGCACCACGCCATCACATGGTGAATGTTCACACAACATTCCACAGTTTCCGTCTGCTCCGAAGATGAACTGAGACGAGAACACAGATTATGCTGAAATCATTCGTGAAAATGGTAAATGTATCTATTTCTGGAGGGGACGTAACATGACAAAATACCTAATGAACAAATTTAGGGTTGGATAAAGCAAATGTTTTATCCAACTCTAAACACACACACACACACCTATTTATCCATCCATCCATTTTCTTCCGCTTCATCCGTTGCCGGGTCGTGGGGGCAGCAGTCTAAGCAGAGACGCCCAGATTTCCCTATCCACACACACCTCCTCCGGGGGGACCCCAAGACGTTCCCAGGCCAGCTGAGAGACATAGTCCCTCCAGCGTGTCCTGGGTCTTCCCCGGGGCCTCCTCCCGGTGGGACGTGCCCGGAACACCTCCCCAGGGAGGCGTCCAGGAGGCATCCGGAACAGATGCCCGAGCCACCTCAACTGGTTCCTCACAACTTGGAGTAGCAGCGGCTCTACTCCGAGCTCCTCCCGTGTGACTGAGCTCCTCATCCTATCTCTAAGGGAGCGCACAGCCACTCTGGGGAGGAAGCTCATTTAGACCACTTGTATCCGTGATCTCGTTCTTTCGGTCACTACCCAAAGCTCATGCCCATAGGTGAGGGAGGGAACAAAGATTGACCGGTAAATTGAGAGCTTTGCCTTTCGGCTCAACTCCCTCTTTACCACAACGGTCCGATACAGCGACCGCATCACTGCGCACGCTGCACCGATCCGCCTGTCCATCTCGCGCTCTATCCTTCCCTCACTCGTGAACAAGACCCCGAGATACTTGAACTCCTCCACTTGAGGAAAAACCTCTCCACCCACCCGGAGAGGGCAAGGCACCCTTTTCTGGTCGAGCACCATGGCCTCAGATTTGGAGGTGCTGATTCTCATCCCAGCGGCTTCACACTAGGCTGCAAACCGTCCCAGTGCATGTTGCAGGTCCTGGTTCGTTGGAGCCAACAGGACAACATTGTCCGCAAACAGCAGAGATGAAATCCTGTGGTCGCCAAACCGGACCCCCTCCAGCCCTGGCTGCGCCTAGAAATTCAACATTCTAGGCCAACATGCACCGAGAACAGGTCCAACTTACTGCCGGCAATGCGAACACAGCTCTGACTCCGGTCATACAGGGACTGAACGGCCCTCAGCAGAGGACCCCGGACCCCATACTCCCGGAGGACCCCCCAAAGGACACCCCGGGGAAAACGGTCGAACGCCTTCTCCAAATCCACAAAGCACATGTGGACAGGTTGGGCGAACTCCCGTGAACCCTCGAGTATCCGATGGAGAGTATAGAGCTGGTCCAGTGTTCCGCGACCGGGACGAAAACCACACTGCTCCTCCTGAATCCGAGATTCGACCATCGGCCGTAGCCTCCTCTCCAGTACCTTGGAGTAGACCTTACCAAGGAGGCTGAGGAGTGTGATCCCACAATAATTGGAACACACCCTCCGATCCCCCTTCTTGTAGAGACGGACCACCACCCCGGTCTGCCACTCCATTGGCACCGCCCCCGAGCGACACGCGACGTTGCAGAGACGTGTCAGCCACGACAGTCCTACAACATCCAGAGACTTTAGATAGTCAGGACGGATCTCATCCACTCCCGGCGCCTTGCCACCAAGGAGGCTGCCAACCACCTTGGTGACCTCGGCCAGGGAGATGGAAGTATCCGCCCCAACATCCTCAGCCTCTGCCTCCAGGGCGGAGGACGTGACGGGGGAATTGAGGAGAACCTCGAAGTATTCCTTCCACCGCCTGACAATATCCCCAGTTGAGGTCAGCAGCCCTCCACCCGCACCGTACACAGTGTTGGCAAAGAACTGCTTCCCTCTCCTGAGGCGCCGGACGGTTTGCCAGAATCTCTTCGAGGCCGACCGATAGTCATGCTCCATGGACTCTCCGAACTCCTCCCAGTCCCGGTTTTTGCCTCTGCACAGCCCGGCCGGCACGTTGCTGCCGTACTGGACAGCTGCCTCAGAGTCCCCGAACCATCATGGCTCGATTGGACTCCTTCTTCAGCCTGATGGCATCCCTTACTGCCGGTGTCCACCACCGGGTTCGGGGGTTACCGCCGGGACCAGCACCAGAGACCTTACAGCTACGAGCTGCCGCATCGGCGATAGAGGAAGAGAACATGGTCCACTCATACTCGATATCCCCCTCCTCCACCGGGACCTGGGAGAAGCTCTCCCGGAGGTGTGAGTTGAAAGTCCGTCTGACAGGGGGCTCAGTGAGACGTTCTGACCGGCTTCCTCCCCCTGCCAGCGGATCCAACTCACGATCAGGTGGTGATAGGTTGACAGCTCCGCCCCTCTCTTCACCCAAGTGTCCGAGACACGCGGCCGAAGGTCAGATAATACGACAACAAAGACGATCATCGAGAGCCACGTGCACTGGTGGACATCCTTGTGCTCGAACATGCTTCACCGCTTCGCCACCACGGACCCCTCTGCGGGTGGTGGGCCCACAGGAGGGACTGCCCACGTCGTCCATTCGGGCTGAGCCCGGCCAGTCCCCGTGGGCTAAGGCCCGGCCACCACGCGCTCGCATACGAGCCCCGACCCCAGGCCTGGCTCCAGGGTGGGGCCCCAGCTGCGTCACTGAATCTTGCGTTATTTGTCTTACTCCTGCGTGAGTTCGAACGAGAGTTCACACGGCCCCCGTGGCAACACTTCCTGAAATAAGCGGGTGTGTTGTCGTGGGGAAAGTAGGAACCGAGCCAGCTGCAGGTATTTTTTCCGCGATCTAACTTTGTTTCACAATATACAGTGGGTAACTGATATGCTTTCGCTACAACCGCCTCCTACACTTCATTTGACGCGGTTGTCACGCTGTGTGCATGATCATACAGAGGAAATGGTGACTCGACCTGTTTGGTTCTGCACAGGGAGTGTCCATGTTCTCCCCGTGTCTCTAAATTAAAGCTGTGGTACCTACATTTTCCCTTGCATTAATGATGCATAATAATTTTGGTTGTGCCCAAAAATAAAAGTCAAACAGAACATTGTTTTGATTTTTGTTTTACATATTTAAGAAAGAGCCCCGTGAGTCATTATTTGACTTGGATTGAGTGGATTATCTGAGCTGATCTAAAGTTTAGCATTAAAAAGAAGCAAGTATAAAATCTCTATTAAGAACCACGCGACAAATGGAGTGAGTACCAAACACCATCTCCTGGTACTCATCTGAGAACCTCACTGAAAAAGTTATATGCACCTGTAGTGTCAGAAATATGTCAGACTACCTTCCAACAAAAACTTTGTTGCAATTCCGTTGCTGCATTTTCTGTGAACTTCTTTTTTAGTTGGTTCAGAGGCCATATTTTTTCTTTCTCTCGTCCTGGGTATTGACATTAAACTGCATCCGGCAGAGTGGTGAGGCTGTGCGTGGGGTTTGATCGATCCGGCTAGCCCCTAAAAAGTGCGCACAATAAGCTGTTGGTACTTCCTCTGTGACTGGCGAGTGGTCGGCGCCATAAAACCGACTGGGCCCCTCGGGTCGGGGATTGTTTGGCCTCTTAAACTTTCTGTAAATAGTTCAAGATAAATCAAGAAGATAATTCCTGTTGGTGTGTATAATCAAAATATATAATAAAATTGAATCCATGTGTGTACCTCCAGTTAAAAACAATCTGCCTTGAGATTTGCATCAACATCCAGTAAGTGCAGTCACAATGCAGTGCATACATTTTGGGGGAGTTAAATGGTTGTATCCAGTACAGTAAGAGACCGTGTGCGGCTGATGCTGTTTTGGATTGCTCGTCAACTGAGTCTTCCTCTCGATGGTGCAGTTTAGATTATTTATTGAAGAGGATGGATCAGGTACATGGAGATGATGATGGTTTGACACAGTGTGTGTGTAAATGTATAAGTATGTGTGTGCGGGTGCGTGTGTGGTTATCTGAAACAGAAAAACAATAAAATGTATATTAATAAACATGTAGGCAGGCTACAGTATGGTTACAAACAGATGTATAAACATGACCTGCAGTACCACCTACAATCCACTAGTGAGAGCTCTAACACTACATGCGTAATGCTGTGTTCACACCGGGCGCCTCCGACGCCTCCAAAGCGTCAGGTTTACATTGAAAATACATTGAGGACGCGGGCCAACAACACCTTCTTTGCAATGTCTGAGCAAAAATTGGAATATCGATATTGAAAAATAAAATAGATATATTCATTGTTTTGGCAATATTACCCACTATTTTCAATGCAAATTGTAATTCAAGCAAAAATATATACAGTCAGACAACAAAACAATGGTTTGTAACTGTGTGATCACATGTCTTCGATCACACTGGCCTGTCCTCACCATATCTTTATCAGTCCTCATCAGCACACGTGAATTTACTCAGATAAGATCAGTGCTGCTGCTACAGTTTTTCTTACTTTAGGGTTAGGGTTAACAATATGGATGCTTATTTGTATTGCTTTTCATGGTCTTCCAAAAGCACTTCACACAGTGTAGGCCGGGATTTGTACTATCATAAAAGCTTTAGCTTTATATAAAATAAAATAGAATGTACAGTTTGTTATTTGTCGAGTGTTTGACCCATTGTATTTTCTTTTGGGCAGAAATGTATTCCATTGTGGAATTTCTGGAGGCGAAGGAGGTGGAGTTGGTGCCATCAGTATGGGTCACCAATGGTCATTGTGCGTGGCCCTCGGGTTTGAGGGGCACGGCACTAAGCCTTGCAGTTCGTACTGCGACCCCTGTGGAGCCAACGTGGGAGCAGTACCGCGTGCGAGTACTATATACAACTGGTACATTCATCATCCTTTTTTCACTGTTCATGGTCAATTATAGTCACTGTCAGATAGATAAACAAACATCAGGCACTGTGACACAAGTTTATACCCCTTGGTGGTGAGTTTATAGCCACGTGTATAGGAGCTGTTTGTTTCCTCAGGGCTAGAGGTCAGGATGATATGAAGATAGGATCAAATACACTACACCCTTTACAGACCATCACTGACCAAAGACCATCTTTTTAATTTTAAATGCCCATTGTTACGTATCACCGAAGATTACATTTATATTGTAGACTTATTAGCACTCCTTCTCATGTTAGGAGTTTGCTTTCCTACTTTCTCCAAGTGAGTTTTACATCTCTAGCCTGTTGCTAGAGATGTTGTTAAAACTGCTTATATTTTTTATTTATTTTTTAGTAAAAAGAGAACTATGAAGAGGGCCGGAGGAAATTGAGGGAAGCCGAAATAACATCCGACCTCCAGTCAGATGTGGAGACCGAAAAGAACAAAAAACGTCGTCGCAAAGCAATGTAAATATCAAATTAAACTCTTCACTTTCTTGAATTTGAATTCTGATGGAGGAGGGGATCAATGTGACTCTGGGACAGAAACAATTTAGAAATAAACTTCAGAAAATTTACAAATAATGAATCTGTGAAATCTATCTATTTGCTCAAGTCCAAAAACAGTTCATATTGATTATTGCACTATTTGGACACATTTTGTGCTCTTGTGTCATGTGTCCAGATGGAGACACAAGACATTGAACTGTGTACCAGTTTTTTGTTCCGTGTGAACATGTTAGTCACCTAAAATTAGAATTTTTGAAACCTCAGCATTTTGACTACCAGGGGATTCGTACCCTCCATCTCAATTACACACTGAATGTTGGCCAAATTAACACAACCTATTGCATAAACATACTGATTTTTTTCTCAGGAAAAACCATCGTTTTCTATCATCTTCAGAGGATGAAGCGCCGATGTCCTCCATCCCTGCGGCCCAAGCCGTTCATTTTAATGCATGCCCCCCTCCTCCCTTTGTTAATTTTGACCCACCCGCCCCCAGTCAATCACCACCCCTCCCCCCAACATACACGGAGCTCACGGCAGGTGTGTACAGCTTCTCTCACTATCATGTTAAGTTCTCAGGTATATTAAATAAATAAATGCAAACTCTGTAAAAAACAATTTAGCACTGCCAGGATACCAGCATTACCACTGGTCTCCACAAGCTCCACAACCAGAACCAGGTAAGATTCACCTAACCCTATAGATCAACCACCTATTTGATTCCCACCTGAACGGGTCCTTTCTGTCGAGTTTGCATGTCTGCATAGGTTTCCTCCGGGTACCCCACCACTAAAAACATGTACAAAAGGTGAATCCTCCAGCCAGGTGTTTCTGACCATTAGCCTGGCTTGACACAAGTCCCCAAATGCGTTTGAAGGAGAGAAACAAACTCCACACAGAAAGGCCCACAAGGCCCGGGAATACTTTATATATATATATATATATATATATTATGTAATAAAAATCTGTATTTGCAGAAAGCTCTCATGGAAGCCACTCTGGTACGCTTTGTTACCACACTGAACAGACTACTACTAATCAGTTTTGTTTATTTGATTTTTATATTAATGAACTTTGTTCCAAACTTACTTTTACAGTAATTTTAAAGGAGGTCCTAACTAAATTAGAAATGGTGCTGCAGCAAAACGACACCATTCTTAGATTACTCCAGCACCAGGCTACTCCTCCAGGCTTGGAGGAAGCCATTGACCTGCCACTTGCAGACCTCCCGCAGCTGTTGGCAATGGAGGACAAGCTTGGCTCACCAGAGTTCCGCTGTTCACTGGTGAGCTTTTTATTTATTTGGTAATATTAAGCGCAAAATGAAGCACAAAAATAGGAGTGGCCGACCATGGGACAGTCATACTATTTCATCCCTCTTTGTCTAAAACATACATAATTGACTCTGGTCTCATTGGAAGTTTGCTTGTCTATCTGCATTTATTTGATAGATTTTGGATGTTTTGAAATACTCACTGCATGAAAGCATATTTTCGGTTAAATTTATGGTAGCCTTCAAATTCACCTGAATTTAGCAATTTACTATTTTACTTTTTTTGCAGACTAACTACCTAGGGACAATCGGGGGCGCCAACGTCCAGGACACGACTTCCCGCATATTAAAAAAAATTCTGAGCCATTCCCTGGCCCAGAAAATGAATTGGAGGGGGGTCAACGGCAAGACTGCCCTGGCCACCCTGCATTTGCGCAAGGTTGTCGTCGGTAAGTTTAATTGTCACTTGTGGTGATAGTTTTTTTTTACTTTCCTACTGAGAGTTTTTGATTTGTGATCGTTTTTTGTTTTGTTTTTAAATCGGATTTTAAATAGTAAAACAGTAATTCATCCTAAATGTTTTTTTGTTTGTTTGTTTGTTTTTTCCTTTCAAGGTGCTGTGCGTAAAAACCCGATTATAGGGTTTACAACCGAGGCAGAGGTGGAGGACAAGATTAAAAGATGGCTCCAACTGAGTGCAGACAGGGAGGGGGGTAGAAAGAGAAGGCTGCTTGCTAAGGAGGGATTAGGGCTGTAAAAAATTTTTGAGTTTGTGAATAAGTTTTTTGTTACAATATTAATGTAAATAATGTAAATAGTTCTATCTATCTAAAATATGTTTTAGACCCCTACGTTACAGTATTTTTTCATTGGGCAAATTTTTATACTTTTTTATATTTTTATATACATTTTTGCGCAAACTCATTATTTATTTATTTATTTGTGTAATTCTCTCTATATAGCTCTAATAGCTCCTTTGTAAATGCTTCTAAACTAATACTTGTTTTCCTCTTCATTTTTTAAATATCCCTTTTTATACAATACAAAAAGTGGAAGGTGATCACTAATATCATTTATCATTAATCCGTCTGTATCTCATTCTATTTAATTTGAGAAAATGTTATCAATCAAGGTGGCACTATGTGTTGTGATTCTACTCGGTTTAGTTATTAGAGGAAACAGACCTATACCAGGTCTGGTCGGGACCAGATGTCCCGCATAATGCGGGACATCTGGTCACGCTATGTACATGTTCCTTCACCTTAATTATTGCAACATTGTTCAATTGTTGGGATTTAAATAAATGTTTTTGAAACAGTGTTTTCAGCGCCTTTTTTAAAGTCTAACATGCGTGTTTAGGTTATTTACCAGTACTCGCCCGACAGCCCAGCCGATTCTCAGCCGACATATAAATAAAGCCATTATGCTGTAGTTCAGCCGATACTGGGCCGTCATCTTTAATGAGAGTCACGTTACTGTAGTTCAGCCGATACTGGGCCGTCATCTTTAATGAGAGTCACGTTACTGTAGTTCAGCCGATACTGGGCCGGTATATTCAGGGGGAGTCGCAAATATTGATTCAACCGATGACGGGCCGCTGGCCCAGCCAACTGTGGGCCGATTCGTGGGTGAGGTAATGGTCCGATGGTGGGCCAGAGAAACTTTTATGTAACGTATGACCGTTACTTTATGCTACTGTCACTTTACGGCATTCTACCGCACTCTTAACAGTCTATTGTGTGCAGTGTGCACCTAGTGCACTTTTATATAGTAAACTATAGACATGTATGTAGATTTTTATTTATGCATGCCTTTGATTTTATTCTGCTTTAACTTGTTCGCACTGAGAGCCAAAGCAATTTCCTCTCGAAAACGTCTTTACAGGATGGTCCAAAAGTTGGCTCTTGTCCCAAAGCTTCGTTCCACATGTGTGTCAATGCTCAGGGGGGAAAAAATAGGGAATAAATAAAATTGAAAGGTGATATCCACTGGAGCAAACCCTGATGTTGATACGCTGAAGAAATACGTTCCAACATCCATTCTTCCCACTCCTATTTTGGACATCAATTGCTTATTTATTTTGGATAATCTATAATTACATTGCTTTTATTTTGTTTGTGTTTTTTTTTATCTCAAATGACCAAATAAAAAAACAAAATTTAACATTCATGCCTCATGGCAATGTGAATGGAGACAGACAAACAACTGATAAAAGAATTCCCTGTGTTTGCTGCTGGATTTGATGTGTATCTGGCAACCTGAGTCAGGGAGAGTGGGAGAGGACTACAAAATATTGACTAGGAAAAGCAATTTCCTAGTTTGTGACTTCCTGGTACTCACATGGCAATAAAAGGATTCTGATTCTTTCTGAGTGGAGTTTTCATGTTCTCCCCGTGTCTGCGCTGGTTTCCCCCCGGGGCTCTGATTTCCCCTACCATTAAAAACATGCACAATAGCTATGAATGTAATGAGTGAGTGAATGGATGGTGTTGATTCGGCATCTCGCTTTCTTCAGTGAACACATTATACATATTCATTATTTGTACACATGCACAGCGGTTTTCAGAATTATCGGTAAACGTTTTTATGACAATAATAATTTTTTAATGCACAAAAAAAGCGATCGCGGTAAACCTGGAAGTAGCTATTATCATTAATCGAACATTTTAGGAGACATCTGCAGAGGATCTGATTATGGATGTAGGTTCAGTATATAAATGAGTAACTCAGCGCGGATGTTCAGAATTCTTTGTTCAGTTTTCATGTAGTTTCAGAGCCTAATAGAGGCTTGATTCGCAGGCTCTGTGAAAACAAACAACTGAGCATGCGCGCAGCTACGAGCATGAGCACCGATGATTGACAGCGCTTGGCATCTCTTGATTGGTTGAAGTGGACGGCATCGTGGATTTTGCGCTATAGCTAAGACAAGGGAAGGCAGGATTTACCCATATTATTAGAATTCATAAAATGAATCAATATTTAAGGCCAGGGGATCAATTTCATACAATTCTTAAAATGTAATTAATTTAGAGTTCCAGACTATCACTTTAAATGTGTGCCCTTTGTCGCAGTTTCACACATTAGTCAATCAGTAAGTTTCTAAACAACACAGCTGTTACGGATCTTGCACTTGTATTTTCCAGAGGGGGCGGATCCCAGCTCAGAAAAAATCCATGAGCACATGCGCTGACATACTTGCAATACCACCCCAGGCCTGTGGGGGTGGGACCAGAAAGAGAATTATTCAATGCTTTTGTGACGGCGTCTTCTTTCCTCTCGAAAACGTCTTTACAGAATGGTCCAAAAGTCGGCTCTTAGGCAAAAGCTACGTTCCAGGTGTGTGTCAATGCCGAGGGGGGGAAATATTTCTTGAAGCACTTTAGTTTAGCCGCTGTGGACTTCAGAAGGCACTCTTTAAATGAATGGTGCTGGTGACAACTAATGCATGCGCAAATACATATTATTCTAGGGGCAGGAATTGATACAAAAATATTACCTAAATAATCCTTTAAAAATTAATTGTGATTAAAAAAAATGCCCAAAAATTGTGTGTGCGTAGTAAACGACTCATAGAACCTCCGCAAGATGTGCTTAAATGTAATAATAATTTATTTAATAATAAAAATAATAGCAATTGTAAACCGCTTTGTGGTTCTGGTCTTAATATAGTTTTTTAATGCTATTATGCCATATGAACAATGTGCAACTCCATATAAGCAATTCTCTGGGATTTTTTTTTTTATTCTTGAGTTTAAACCTCTAGAACAGCCATTCCCAAACTCAGTAACACCGAGGCCCCCTTAAAAATCTGACGGGTCTGCGTGGCCCCCCAAAATAATAACCAAGAAGACAACATTAAGAATAGGCTCTTCTGGTTATTTTATTTTGGGGAAATAGCCTCTGCTACAAACATTGTAATACAAAAATGATTACAGTGGATTATTCAAGTCAAATAATGTACACAAATATTTTAATATTACAAACAAAACATTATACATTTAACATTAAATAATTATATTATTTTTTTTATTTTTTTTATGACCTCCCGCGGCCCCCCTGCAGTACCCTCGCGGCCCACCAGGGGGCCGCGGACCCCACTTTGGGAGACACTGCTCTAGAATCTAGAAGTGAACCTCTAGTGTATCTAGAAGATACACTTAATTCTTCTGCTGTAAGTGTAAGTGCATTATTTTAGCAGCATTTTTCAAGTATATGACACAACCCCTCATCATCGACAATTTTGTTCGACTGCAATTTCCAGCAACTCAACACACAATTGAATTAGTCATCTTGTCATTGACAGCCCCCCTCCTGCATCAAACTTCTTCTCCAAAGGTGTTTGCCGTGGTCCGCTTGAGGATAAGGTACAGGGATGCTTCGCTTGTACATCACCGCTCGAAAGCGTGGCTTCTGTTGCTTGTGCCAGCTAAGATTATAGCAATAGCGGCTTCGCAGCCGCAGCCAGGAAAGAGCAACGGGTTTATAAATCGATACGTCAATAGATTTTAACGCGTTAATATTAAAGAATAAACACAAAATGTTAACGCACTAATTTTCCCAGCCCTAGTTTGTCACATTTTCCTACGGAAGGGGCTGCCCGCGGCCATTTTGAAAAAAAATCTTCTTAGCAAGGCTAAATGTAGGTCATTATGCCTTGAAAACGAAGGGTTTTCTTATTTACAATAAACAATACAACAGCTTTCTCTATTCTAGACCAGTGGGGGCGGGTCCCAGCTCAAAAGTGGCCAAAATGACGTGCGCTGACATGCTTGCAATACCACCTCGGGCCGATGGGGGTGGACCCAGAAGAAGAATTAGCCAAGGCTAACATATAGCATCTTCTCACCTCTCAAAAACGTCTTTACAGGATGGACCAAAAGTTGGCTCTTGGCCCAAAGCTCCGTTCCACATGTGTGTCAATGCTGAGGGGGGTGAATTTTTTTGGTCCACTCTAGTTTACTCGCTGTGAATTTTTGAAGTCTCTCGTTCAAATGAATGGAGCTGTCGTCGGCTGACGCATGCGCAGATGCGTTTTTTCACAATTTTCTTGTGGGCGGGATCACTCGCGGCCATTTTGGATTGCTCCGGTAGAGCACATTTTTTGGCCCATTAGTTAGAACGGCGGAGATAGGCGTGACTCTGTCCGTTAATATATACAGTCTATATTCTAGACGTAAAATAAAAATGCATGCATAGTGACACACCCCTCCCCCCTAAAACAAACAAAATGTCTTCTGAAGAGAGGAGGGTCGGGCCAGCTGTGGGGGCATTTCCGTTGGACTACAAACACGCCTTAGTGGGTGTTACAGTAAAGTTTCAACAATCACCAATCAGTATCAAAATACGCTTTCAAAATAAACCAGCAGCACGGAATCTTGGCTGAACCAATAGACCGTATATATTGAACCGCACGTGAAACTCACAACGAAGGTGTCACCACGTGTGTTCTACATGTCCGTAAGTATAACTTGTTTTAAGCAATTGCATTCTTTCCTAATCCAACCATACAACTAACGCAATGCTAACCGTAAGCAGTAATCAAAAGTATGCATTCAAAAAGTTGAACAGTAACGGTGACAAGGCTAGCTGTTGGCTACACTTACTGTACTTAGCCATGCGGTCATTAGCGTTGGTTTGCTACTACTAAACAATTTTACAGTTGTTTCTTCATTACAAATCATGTAGCGCTGTAGTGTAGATACTCAAACAATAACGCCATTCGCAAGTGTTTTATTACTTTATTTGTCAAAACAAATCATGTAGCATGATCATAATTCATACGGTTCTTTTGTTTTAAGGATCATTTGTCAATATTTCGCAGTGCCCGAAGGCCACAAGCGGAACGATGCTCCGACCCCAAGTGCCCTCTACTGCACTGTCCCTTTTGTCCAAATTATAAGGGGGATTTTGCGAGGGTGGAAGTGCATATACAAAGCCACCAGAAGACTGTGGTACGTTACGGAGGTATGATGTATTTGCTTGGTTATTACTACTTTTGAAGATGATGATGCAAAAGGTATAATATATCACATGTAGTAAATTAATATTATGGTGAGTTGATCGAGAATGATTATTTTGTCACTTTTATTCACTAACATGTATCTGGTCATTAAAACTATTGCTGTTTAGGGCCCATTATTTGATTTAGTTTCATGTTGGCCACTAGAAAATGTTATTTATAGAATAAAATTGCCAATAAATGTAATAAAAAGTTATTCTTAAATTTTAAAACTCTTATGTGAAACACGTTTCTACTGATCTCAAAATGCGTTGCATATGACATCACATTTCCAAACTATACATGAAATGTTTGCTATATTGTTTACTAGAAGAACTATAAGTAATGAATACATATATTTTTCCTACAGACTTTGCCATTTATATGTACAACTGGGGCTGCAGAGGTGGTAGTCACTTTCACTGCTGTTTCTGTTTAAATACATTTCCGAGAAGAAAGGCAATCCTAAAACACCTTAATACCTGCCTTTCCCAGAACCAGCCACCACTGCCCACTCTGCCCCAGAACCAGCCGCCTCTGCCCCACAACCAGCCGCCTCTGCCCGCTCTGCCCCACAACCAGCCGCCTCTGCCCCACAACCAGCCGCCTCTGCCCACTCTGCCAGGTCTCAATCATACCTGTACACAGGATATGTGAAGTGGCAGGCCATGGCAGGGGGCTGGTAATGCGCCTGGCCCATCTGTTCTCTGGGGATAAATGGCTTAAAGGGTATTTGCAACTGAGCACAAGGGTTACGAGAAGTTTGTGATTAGCGATGTACAGTTTCCTTAAAGAGGAACTAATTTTTGCTTTGTTTAATAAACATTATTTGTGAAAGTGTTTTTTGTGTAGATACACTTTGAAAGGTGTACAATTATTTTTTTGTAGTGTATATATGTATTGTATGTGTAATGTGAGAAAATATATTCCTTTATTCGTCGCAGTGGAGAAATTTCAGTGTCATTGTTGCATATTACAGCAGAGAAAGAAGGAAATAAGAGCACAAGATTGCACACATCGAATAGTCTATTATTTAAGATAATATACAATCGAATTGAAATTAACTCTGGAGCTATATTTGCACTTGGTTCAGGAGTATTTACAGCTGTCTACATGGTTTATATAGTCATTGTTACATCACAGATCACACGTCGAAAGACATATGTGTCACGTCCAGAGACAATCAGAGCATATTATAGTCATAACAAGGATACACAATCAGAGTCCTTGTAGAGTCTGTAGAGCCACCTGCGTAGGCCATATAGCTATCTGATTTATAGAGCCAATAATTGAATCGTATTACATATGGACTAACAGAAGATCATGGACAGTTGGTTTCATTTGGATTGGCCCAGTAATTGGCAATAAAGACTAAAAGTCTGGTTTCTTCAGTTAGCAGGACAACATGTACAGCGTGAATTAATGTTTGTTTTCACACTTAAATGTTGTAGTGAATAATATCAAGTTGATAGTTAAAAAATAATAGAGTGGACCACTGTGCACCTGTATAGACGGTAGCTCACGAGTACCACCAGGAGGGAACATTTCTCGACCTAAATGTAGATGGTAAAACCCATAGATATATCTTTATTTAAACAGAACTGTCTATCATCAAGAACAGCATTGACATCGTTCTTATTTTGAATATCTTATTTTGAAATACCGAATGAGATCGGATGTGTTCAGCAGCGAATTAAGAAGGAAGAGGCGTTTCTGTATTTGAAGACTGTGTTCCTGTTAAACACATGGACGCCCCTTTTAGCTGCTGGCCGGAGGATATTGTCTGAAGACTCCAACTTTAAGTATGAAGAGGCGGGTTCTGGAATATGAACAAACATTGACGTGATCCTTTCCAAGAGGAGCGGGGCAACACAACAAACTGGAATTAAGTATTCACTTTAACAGACAACTAGTGGAGCCACCAATTATGATCAGGGGCCTATGCTTCGTATCCGGGTTTTGCAGATCTGCATGGACACATCACAGAAGACTGGTAAGTTCTCTCTATCACACAAACAAACTAAACCATTTTAAAACGGCATCCATGAAAGAAGGTCCAATCCAAAACATTTGCCTTGGACCCCAAAATGGCTCAGTCCACCTCTGGCTTCTGCCTGAGGATGGCTTGTCCCACTGACGCTGTACAGTCTCAAAGCAAAGGACAACTTCTGCACAGTCTGCTGTCTCTCATCAGGACTGTGAACTGTGGGGCACTTTCCTCTCAGTGAAGGATTTTATTATTTTTATTATGATTATTTTTATTACAGATTTAATTATGTTCATCTCCATGTTTAAGTCCTGGCTAACTCCAGATCAATTCAGGTAGGTATGCTCAAAAGTCATATTGCTGCACACTCCACTCAGGTTTGGATGCAAATACGTCAAACTAAGGCTGACATTTCAAGTCATTCTTCATTTAAGAAGACAGGGAAAACTGGCAACTAGCAACTCATCAGCAAATATACGCCTTGTGAACAGGTCTTTCCAGCTTGACTTCTCTTCTATAGGTGTGTGGGCTTAACAACTTGGGTAAAAAAGTTGTGTATTTAAGTGAGTATGTATGCCATGGACCGTACAACAGGAGTAGACGGACTGGGTCTGACATTACCGTGGTATGGTATGTACTTTATTTGAACAGGGACAGTGCACAATTAAACATTAACACAAAGCATTAACACAAAGCGTTATCCTCAAAATTCACTGTCCTTTACTTGTTTAAAAGGTTAAAAGAATGGAATCTAGAAATATGTTAGCAGATTTTAAAAGAAAAGCAAAGCTTTAGCACTAATATTTGGGTTTCAAAAAAAATAATTCAAAACTTCTATTCCCTAAATGTGTTTAAAAACGTTTATCTGTGTCATAACACAATGTTCAATTGCAAATTTAGCAAATTTAAAAACTATTAAAAGCCAAAATCCTAAAGGCAGGTTTGTTTTGATTCAGAGCCGAAGTAGCGAAGGAGGGGGCCGTTTCCCCTGACAACGGCAGCAAGATAGAGCGGGCAGAAAGATACAGAAAGATACAGGCAGAAAGATACAGAACTTTCAAGATTACTTTTTTAAGCTATTATAACTGATGTTGTGCTTTAAACTGGTGTCATCCAAATATAGAAATGGCCAATTTCAATACTTGTGACAAAAGGCACTATTACTCTTCGAGGTAGCGAACTAGTTTAAACTCAAAAATCTCTTTCTAAAAAAACCCAAAACGACTGTTGGATACAGCCCGAGCCGCGACAAAAAATGTAAATAACTCGCAAAAGCTCTCATAGCTCAACTGTAGATAAAACTCGGCGTTCTCGGGTAAACTCTGTTCTCGGGTGAACTCCGAAAAAAACAAAACTCCCATTTTCTGTATGTAATTTAAACCCGGGATCACTGAAATAGTGTTGCTTCTATACTTTTGTCATTTATCAGCCTGAAAAAAGGATGACACCCGCACACTGTCTAACTTGCAAACACCAGTGGTTTATTAGCAACGTTTCGGCCACAGGCCTTCCTCAGGCAAAATATACAAATAGAGGTTGGGAGCCATCTTAAATAGGGAGGGGCTGACAACGCCCCTGGATGTAATCAACTATACCAGATGACCAAAAAACTCGTCAAAAACTCATCAAAAAGTGGAAAACACCAATATATACATATATACATGATGCATGAAGAAAAACATATGGAAGCAGACATACAGGACAGCTGATCAAGAAATGGCTGTCCTAATACATACATTCCTACATGTATTCTAAAATGTGTATTCTTAAGATGTGACACACGGCAGTCTATTTACAAAAAGACATTCAAGACAAGCTCATCGTTCAGGCCTTTTGGTGTGAGGGTTTGCAGTTTGTGTATCCAAAAAGCCTCTCTCTGTTTGAGAAGCTTATCATGGTTACCCCCCCCTCACAGGAAGAGGAACATGCTCTATCCCATAGAAACGAAGGGCACTCACATCATGATTAGCATCATTAAAATGTACAGCTACAGGATATTCCCTGTCATTCCTGCGGATAGAACTTTTATGTTCACTTATTCTTTGTTTTAATTTTCTTGTGGTTTGGCCTACATAGGCCAAACCACAAGGACAACTCAGTAAATAGATGACATGAGTGGATGCACATGTTATCATGCTTTTGATGGGTATACTCCTACCACTGTGCGGGTGTAAAAAAAAGCTGGTTTTGTAAGTGTTATTGCACTGGGCACAACCACCACAACGATAGTTCCCATTAGGAATCGGCGTCAGGAGGGTCTGAGTGGATGGCGCTAGGGTGGTGAAACTGGCCCGGACAAGGTGGTCTCTAAGGTTCTTGCCCCTCCTGTTCCAAAAAGGGGAGGGAACTTGAAGATAGTGGCCAGTTCAGGATCCGATGTGAGTATGTGCCAGTGTTTTCTGAACATAGTTTTGATGGTTGCAGAGTGGGGAGAATACTGGGAGATACAAGTGATCGAAATTTGTTTTTTGGTCTTTTTGTGGGTCTCACACCGGGTCTCACGCACGTGCACAGAGGGGCTCGGCCGCGCTCTGACCAATCAGAGCAGTTCATCAGAGCGGGAGTTAGAGCGGGAGCCAGACGGGCAGAGTTTGTGGCACTAAAGTGTAGATTTAAAGAAAACCGAAGGATTTAAGAAGAAAAAAAGTTCAGGATGACAAGGGACACTAAAATCCCCACAAAATCCGATCTTTATGAAAGCTGTAGGTTCTCTGTCAGCTGAGGTCGCGCTGATTTAATTTACATTAAGTGGAACATTTCTGGGTAGCCCACGTGAATTTAGTTTGGTTTAGTCTGCAGTACCGCGAGAATCCCCTGAGCACGTGGGTTCTTCAGCTCCAAGCTAATAATACCCTATCCAGTTATCATAATAGATCCATGTTTGACATGCGCAAACTGAACTTCAGGACAAATCCGGTTTACGGGACGAATCCGGCAGCCACAGGCTTCACTGAGCTATAGGTTAGCAATGTCCATAAATATATATAATAAACATTTCAGTTTATTATATTTGTATGGAGGTGAGCAAGTGTGCAAGAATATGAATATTGTATTGTGTTTCGTTGACTGATGTATATTTGTTTGTACTCTCATGCCATTTGCCAACTGTCTTGATAGCTTGATAGCTTGATAGCGTGAACTAACATACTTTAAGTGAAGTATTGTGCCTGCAGACCCTCCCGAAGCTGCCCCTCCCGGAGCTCTCGGACACACTGGCCCTCTACCTGAGCAGCATGAAGCACCTGCTCACAGAGGAACAGTTCCATACTACTCAGAGCCTGGTCAAACAGTTCAGCGCCCCCGGAGGAGTGGGGCCGCTACTGCAGCAAAAGCTCAAGGAGAGGAGGGACAACACCGACAACTGGGTAACTACACTGGAGACACACTGAGGATCTGGCAACATAGATGATCTGTTGGCCTTTATATTCATATGTTTGCGGTTTTATGGTGTGGGTGATTTGGTTTCATTAAAGTGGATGTCAGTTACTTTTCAAATTGTGATGAGAAAATTACACCTTTTGATGCTCTGGGTAGACCCATCTGACCTGTTTGAAGGATCTAAACTAAGGCTTGAGGGTCATTTGAGGCCCTTTGTGTTCTTTTACATGGTCCAAAGTAGATTGAGATCATCAACACAATTTCATCTGGCAAAGCAGAATCTAAAGAATTAAGCTGTTGGACGTAATTGCATATCCTGACATTTGATTTTAATTGTGTCACTAAATTCAATATATGGCACTAATGTAGACGGTGAGATGGTCATTCAGCCGACTTCAGCTCTCTCATAGCTCATTATAAAGCTCAGAACAGTCTGAAACCTACCAAAGCTGTTTTACAATCCTGGACAAGTCTGGTGAATTAAAATGGTCCTCTTAATAAAAGGTTTGGACACTACTGCCTTAGCCAGGCCTAAAACAACCTTGCAAATTCCCCAAAATCTGAGGGTTTTTTCTGGAAAATAATTCACTGTCTCAAAAATGCAGTAATCATTCAGACTAAATGATTAATTTCTCAGGTTTTTGAGCAGCTAGGAACAACATTTAATGAGTATTTGAGAGCTTACACCTGTGGCTCTCTTGTGAAATTGGGTTTAATTTGATACAATTCATGAACATAAAAGCACTCGTTTCATTTTTAAAAAGTAAGAAAAGTAAGTTGGACTGGGGAAAACAAGATCAGCATGTATTAACTAACACTACAAAACCTCCTCCGTGCCTTTACACAAGCGCTCAATGTGCAGTGGCCTTTTACAGTTGATCTACTGTGTCTTTGTCAGGAACAAGTTGACTCTCCCTCCAATGTTTGCGCTTCTGCTGGACGTTTACACAATCAGACTGTTAAGAAGTTTCACCTCTGCTTCCTGCTGATGGAGGAGATCATCTGTTTGCCTTTTGAATTACTTTATATTGTACAGGATGATTCTAAACTCCTAAATATGAAAGTTGAGTGACTGCACATACCTCAGTCGGGACCAGTGGTCACCGTAGTACAGCCCCGAGGCTCCATTTCCAGATGCTTATGCTTGGCTTGGTCTGGTCCCAGAGCAGGTAGATTTGACCCAAGTACAATTTATTTATGATTTGCAGTAAAACCACATTGGAAAACCTGTGCAAGTATCCCCCAGTGTGCACCAGACACAGCAGAAGCCTCAGCACCAAGTTGACTAGTTGCATGGATTGGGCTTGTGGTGGTTCGCTGCATCTTCTTGGAATTATATGAAAAGGAAAACACCGGAGCTCATACAGTAACTGCTGTTGAGCACAAAATGATTAGATTTTTGTAAGTGTGATGTGTGAAGTGGAATCGTTCCGACTTCGATACTTACCTTCTCCATGGCAACAGGTGAACGAGTACTGGCTGAATGACATGTACCTGAACAACCGCTCGCCTCTACCTGTGCACACCAGTCCCGCCATAGTGTTCCCCCCACAGCCCTTCAGAGCCCCCAGCGACGCCCTGAGGTACGACACAGCAGCATCACTCAGACAGACTGACATTAGAGCCGCAAGTTAATACTATTAATCGACTTCTGAAAATCAAAGATGTGAGAAATGTTAAGGGTGAAATCGAGGGATCATGTTTCTTCTGGCCTCTGCTTCACGGGGCCTCTGTAGTTTAACCCAGTCCTGCAGCGTGAGTGTATACAACAGGCCATTCCACATTTCAATTTAGAATTACATTTAGAAAAAACACAGTTAAATATTAAAAACGTCTATTAGTACTTCACAAAGTTGTCGATTCACCAACAACAGATCAGAGAAGCAAATAGTTTGAAAACAGGAAGTGCAATAATAACGAACACATACCTGTAGCTTCTGAAGCTGTGCAGGGCAGAGTCTGGTTAGTACTGTGATGGAAGACCTCTGGGAACACGAGGTGCCACAGTGGGGCGGCTGTAAAGTGCCAAACTACTGTTGTGTCCTTGGGCAAGACACTTCACCCTCATTGCCAAGAATGAGTCTGTTGTATGTGTGAATGGTTGGTGGTGGACAGAGAGGCCGATAGCACATACTGGTTGCCTGGCTTCTGGCATGTGTCGCAGGGCAGCTGTGGCTACAATAGTAGTTTATCACCACAGTGTATGGAATTAATGATTGATAACATGTGAAGCATCTTTGAGTATCAAGAAAACACTATTTAAAACCAATGCCATTATTATTATTATTATTTATAGAAGCCATTGGTCCATGGAGAGCAGGATGACCACTGGCCACACATTTTGATAAATGTCAATAAATGAAATGTCAGTTCGTCATAAATGTGACTAATGGGCTTAAATCTTATTCTTGTTAAAGGTTTGCATCACGTTTTATTTCTGGATTGTTGGACTACAAGACTCTTCTTGATGCGTGAGTCAATTTCTTCTATAACAATCTACTTACCTTATACCCATGAAGTACATTCACAGAGCCTGCCATAAACTTGAATCTTTATTTAAATGAGTTTTTTAAGAGTAATAAATAGTGAATATTTCCCTCTCCTGGAGATGAAATTCCAACATTCTAAACCTTGAATGCCACTGGTTTTTCTTCTAGAAGTTTGAGTTAAATCCAGTTAGAGGGAGTTCTGTTTCGGTTCACACTACAGCGGCCTTTTTTAAACTGGCACGCGTAGCCAGTTTAAAACTCCTTAAAATAGATGCTGTGCTATAAATCCGGGGCATCAAGACACAAAACAAATGTAGTACTGCTGCTTCACTTGATTTTGGTATTGTTTTCTGTGTTACAAATTTAAGGATGATGAATTAATCCCAGTATTGTTTGTGATGATTTTAATTAAGTTTGTAACTTATACTTTAAACACATCACCTATAGGTTGTTGTAAAAAAAAAACCTTGACAGACGTGTCCAAAGTTGATGCAGAAAACAAGACAAAGATTTTCCAAGTGTAACATCTGTATTTAATTTATCTTTACAATCAGATACAGAAATTCAACCAAGCTCCTATCCTAACTAATGCTATGCTCTCTCCAAGCCCCGGCGATCCAAGATGGCGCCCTATTCAAATGAATGGTTGTGCTCAGTGGCGCTTTGTGACAGCATGGGGGCTGAAAGATTAGCGGAAGTTGCCTGAAACTCGCAAAGATCTATGGGAAAGTCGCCTGTATTTGGGCATCGTCTGGTCCTCCCGGTTCTGCGCAGTGGATGATCTCCCATAATGCTTTGCGTCAAACACACGTGTGTGGGTCTCACACCGGGTCTCACGCACGTGCACAGAGGGGCTCGGCCGCGCTCTGACCAATCAGAGCAGTTCATCAGAGCGGGAGTTAGAGCGAGAGCCAGAGGAGCAGAGTTTGTGGCACTAAAGTGTGGATTTAAACAAAACCGAAAGATTTAAGAAGAAAAAAAGTTCAGGATGACAAGGGACACTAAAATCCCCACAAAATCCAATCTTTATTAAAGCTGTAGGTTCTCTGTCAGCTGAGGTCGAGCTGTTTTAATATGCATTGAGTTCTATGGGGAACATTTCTGGGTAGCCCACGTGAATTTAGTCTGGTTCAGTCTGCAGTACCGCGAGAATCCCCTGAGCACATGAGTTATTCAGCTAAAAGCTAGTAATACCCTATCCAGTTAATATAATAGATCCATGGCTCTCTCCCTCAACGCTCGCCCTTTGTCTCTGGGCTCAAAATGGCTACTCCCCGTTTTTATCAGAATGCCCTGATGACGTCATCTCTGTGCCTCTCCCTAAAAGTTTATTTCCGGGTGTGCTGGCGTCCCTTGTCCACTGGGGGGCGTCAGAACGCCGTTGGTGAATTCCCCAGTCAGGCAGCTCTGGTCCTGTATCCGGTCTTTTGTCCTTCGCATCTCCAGACCTAAAATGAGAAATCATTCACCCCCCCCAATCTATAGATTTTATTACTTCCTTGAGATAAGGCAGGAGGCTCTCAAGGCTGTCCCTCCAGATTCTGGGTCCATCTCCTTCTCCAAACAACGGAAAGGATTAACAGAATATAGGAATGCAGATCCCTCTTGGCCTTCCGGATTAACTATCATTAACTCATATTCTGCACTTTAGACTACAATGGGAGAAGGGGAGACCAGGTCTTTTTTTGCTTAGGAAGAGACAGAGTTTCAAATCACACATCTGCTTTTTAGTCTATATTTAATACAACAAGGTCCTAAAGGTCATGTGAATCCTTTTGTCATGTTTAATTCTCTGTTTGCATGTAGCATACTGTTTACAAGGAATTGCAATTAACTTTTCTCTGATCACCTGCCCAAGGACTCTAGATGTAAATGAGTGTTCCTGTGCACTGTAGTTGTTCAAACGACAAAATAATGAATAAAAAAACAATGCACTTTTTAGATCCGGAGGCTCAAACATCTGACCTGCAGGTAAACATGTGTCCATAAGTCTCATGTGCAGGAAGCTGAAAGAGAAAAAATTGTGAGAAACGTTTACGCTGATAATAAATGGATTGGAAAGTATTTTATTCATGATCTCAGGTTGCTGTTACATAAAACATTTTGAGATTCACTTTTGGAATCCCTCTAGAAAATGGCATTGCATGTCCCTGTTGACATGACTGTTACTCTTCCCGCAGCCGTGCTCTGCCTGTGGACTACATTCAGGGCCAGTTAGCAAGGACCCCCATGTGCATGGAGCAGTACTACCGCCTCTTCACCTCCAATCGCCTCCCGGGGCCTCAGCGTGACACTCTGGTGACCCAGGAGACGTGCGTAATGCCCGAGCAGGAGCACATCATTGTGGCCTGTAAGAACCAGGTCAGTGCACATCATGGAGATATCTGTACAACGTTTAAGGTGGTAATAGATCTGCACAGTGACATATGTCCCAAAGCTCATCCGTGCTGGAATCTCAAAGCTGCAGAAATCCACCAATAGAAGTGGGATCATTAGTGACAGGGAGAAGTTGGAAATGGATAGGTTTCACACGCAGCTGCTAGACGCAGATAGATCAAACCAATGATAGGTTTCCTGGAAGTGGTGAGAACTTCTTTCAATTCAATTTACTTTTGTATGTACCTAAATCACAACAGCTGTCATTTACAAATTTGTCAATTCAACGGTTAATAAAATCAAAGAGCCTGAACCCTGTAAATGCAATGATTGGGGATAACAGCAAGAGTGGATAGCCCTGACCAGGATCTGACCAACCTGAGGTTCAACATCTGGAGAGGATGGATCAAGTCAAGAGGAAAAGTACATTTATAGAATAACTTCACTGTGCGTAACTTAATGACCAACGTCACTAATGTCCTGGATCATCATTGTCAAGAATTACTCAAACAACCCAGATGGGAACATTTTTTAAATCTCAGGGAGGCCCACATTGAGAGGCGGGTGAATAGCAATGAACAGACTACAGCTGAAGTTATGGTGACAGACAGATAAGGAGAGAAGAAAGGATAGTGCTCAAGTTACTATACTTCTCCCAGAAAGGTGTCTCATATGCAGCTTGACTAGATCTCAGATCGAATCCTCCAATCACGTGCCAGCTACCCCTATAAATAGCCCCGCTCAGGCCTGCACCTGCCATTTTGAACTCTGGCGCCAGGATATCTACTTTAAAAAAAAATGGAGAATTGAGATGTCGCTGCCTTCTCTGCTCGTCCGAGTTCCCTTCGCCCTCCGGCGTTGGACGAGATAGGTAAGCGTAGCTGTAGTAAAACTTAACTGCAGGGACGAGCACCCCGATGCTTCTTCTGCTTCCCCTGCCTGGGCTGACTGACCCTTCACGGAGGCGCCGCCCAAATAACGGGCCTCTCTCTCTCCCAAGGGGAAGAGTGAGAGTGCCGCGATGCACGCACCAGTCGAAGGCTGCCCGGACTTCAGGGAAGGGAGTGCAGTATGCCCCGCTTGACCTGATTCCCGCGTGTCTGGGGAGAATGGCATGGGGACAGAGCCCGGAGTTCTCTCCCTCTTCACTCTCGAGACCGCTTTTCCCGCGCAGCTGCCAGGCGCTGGGAAATCTTCCTCCCACCACAGTCCTCTCAGGCAGAGACAGAGAGGGCTTGGAGCAGGGAAGGAGAGGCTGGAGCTCACACGGTGCCCATGTATGAACCCGGTGTTCACTACGCCACACGTGACGGGCGGGGGAGCCAAGAGGCTAGCCCTGGGATTTGGCCCGTATGGTACGGCCCAAGACTGGTCCTGGTCCAGCGGAGTCCCTGACCCGGAGGACGCGGTGGGGCTGACGTGGCTCCCCGTGCCCTCCATGGGACCAGGCAACAGACCGCCCTCTGTCGTTTGGAGCTGGAGACGGTTTGGTCGGTCGCCCACTCTGTTCTGAATGCTGGGATCTAACGTGGACCGTGAGGTGCTCTTCGTAGAAGCAGCCTACGGTCTGTGGTAGGTGTGTAATGACCGCCCCAGTCAGGAGCTCTTGGTAGAGGCGTCCTGGGGTTGCGGCCTGCCCTTGGTTCCCCGAGGGCGGTGTTTTAGTGTCCCCTTCAGGAGCTCTTGGTAGAGGCGTCCTGGGACTATACGGGCTGCCCTCGTTCCAAGGGCGGACTTGTTGCTATTCCCTTCAGGAGCTCTTGATAGAGGTGTCCTGGGAATGCGACCTGCCCCTGGTCTCAGGGGAGGTGTTTGCAGAGGTCTTAGGGCGTTCTTGGTAGAAGCGGCCCTTTAACTCTGTGGTTTCCTTTGTCTTGGAAGGCGTTTGTCAGTGTTCTTCGGGCGTCCTTGATAGAAGCGGCCTTGTAACACTGCTTATACTTCCTTTCTCCTGCCCTGAGGCCTTTCACCTTGGTGGTGTTGGGGCAATCTCGGGCAGGGCTCCAATCACTCTACGCTGGCCTGATGGGAGTACATCTTCCTACGGCTACGCGTAGTTATCCACAGCGTAAGCCTAAGGGGCATAGCACCATGAAGTAGAATACTTAGTTACCTAATTTAACTGTGTGTGGAATTATTGGAACAATATTTGAACTCTGAACATTGTAAAGCGCTATGGGTGACTTTGGTCTGTAAAATGCGCTATATAAATAAACATTACTTACTTACTTACTTACTAACTGTAGTTCTACGAATAGGTGCGTATGTCACATGTGTAAAAACAGGTTCTTCGGACCCGGATTTAAAAAGGACGACTGGATTAAAAGCGAATTAAAAGCTATTTATTATAAAATACATTAAAAACAAGTAAATAAAAAAAATAAAAACCTAAGCTAAAAAAGGGCTAAAAAGCTAAAACAGAGGCTAAAACAGGCTAAAATGCGTCCCCACGGCCTGGGCCGCCAGACCACGGGGCTCTCACCCGCCGCGCCTGGCTCCCGTGTCTGGCTCCCTCTCCGTTCACTCCCCCTCCCCATCTCAGTCTTTTATTCTCAAAATCAATATTAAAAACACACAAACACCAACATGCATAAAATATGAATAAAACCATATTAAAACCCACCACCCATTTTGCACCCCCTGACACGTAGACCCTTAGCTACGGGCCCATCAGGCCAGCCTGGCTTTGGCTGAGTTTAAAGTGGCAGGTGCAGGCCTGAGCGGGGCAATTTATAGGGGGAGCTGGCACGTGATTGGAGGATTCAATCTGAGATCTCTCTGGCGGGGGCTAGGTGCCTCAAGAAGTCACCCACAGCGTAAGCCTTAGGGGCTACGCACCTATTCGTAGAAAAACAGTTACATTAGGTAACTAAGTATAATCTGTGTTTTTTGTGCTTAAAAATGTATTTCTACCTACCTCACCAAATACAGTGGGCCCACGGATTAAAACATATGTAAATGAGTTGAATGGTGATGATCTAACACTTCTCTCTGATTATTCACAGTTTACGACGCTCAGGGAAAACAAAAACCTGTTTCTTGACACTACATGGTTACATGGCTTCATTGATATTTGATAAAGAAGTGATCTCTGTGCAGTTCTTTGTGTTGGATGTGGTGATAAACTTTTGTCGCCTGAATGAGAGGGACCTGCTCACTCAGCTACAGAGGATTGCCAAGATGGCCGACAGCGAGGAGGACCGCCTTCCCCCTGTCGGCCTGCTCACCACGGACGAACGGAGCCAGTGGGCGGAGTCTCGCTCGGTGCTCATGAGAGGTCAGCTGTTTTTTCCTTGAAGTGTATTGTGTATTGTGTATTTGGCCCGAGCGCAGATATGTCGTAAAAGCAGTTCGATCTGGGAAGGGTGAGACAAGAGGATGTACAGTAATAATGTTTATTGAGTTCCATGGAAAAGATGTATTATTCACTGTTTTGCGGCCCGTGGATGGAGAAACGCACCCTAGGATGGGTTCACTAATTGACAGCATGATTTCCAATGTGTTTGATAAAGCGTTGGCACAGTTGATTTAAAAATGAATAAAAAAATTGGCTAAATTACCAAAAAAAATGAAATGAATAAATACATAAATCAATATGACGGACATATCACGTAATGCTGTGCTTAATTGAACCCTGGGGGACAGGGCCTTCTCTGTGGCGGGACCAAAGCTCTGGAACGCTCTGTCCCCCCATGTCAAAACAGCTCCCTCGTTGGAATGTTTTAAGTCTTGTCTTAAAACCCACTTTTATTCTCTGGCTTTTAACACCGCGTGAGTCATGTGGGCCTCTGTGTTTTTATTTTATTGTATTTTATACTATTTTATTATTATTTTGAATTAGATTTTTATATATATGTGTGTATTTATTTATTTATTGCCATTTTTTTGCTTGTTGTACAGCACTTTGGAACCTGCTTGTTTATGAAATGTGCTATATAAATAAAGTGGATTGGATTGGATTTAACAAAAGAAGACAACACCAGCATGCCAACATGTCAGCATTGAATGTGCTTAAGGCTGAGTTTACACGGAGACAATGTGGCAGTAAAACGGTATAGTTGGATGTCGGTTGCTACCAACCGTTCATACGAAGACAGTGTTCCAGGGGGGTGAAAACGTAAGTGTTCAGATCCAGCCTGCAGAGTGGGACAACTCAGAAACGCTGCACAGCGGGGAGCTCTTTCACACCCGCGAGAGGGGAAAAGGTGTGAAATCCCCCTCTGCTCTGACCCCCGCCTCCGCGCTGCTCCCCGCACGTAAATTTGGACATGCGCAGTAGCGGAGAACAAACATCAACAACAACGGCGCCGCCCACACAAACTACTTGCATTAGGAGCCAGGTCGTTTCTGTTAATAGCCTGGAAACGTCTGCGCAGCGTCTCAGTATAAACAGGGCCTAAGAGTGCTCGTAGTATTTGTTCTTACCTCAGAGAAATCCTGGGTAAGAAAAAAATCATGAATGTCCCAATCTTCGTAAAATCTTTGTAAGTAGGATTTAAGAAGAAAATTTGTTCTGAAGAACAATTCGTGAATGGGGCCCAATGTTCTTGTCTCAACAAAACCGACCACAATCGGCTCTCTATATCCATCCATCCATTTTCTTTCACTTTATCCCTTGCCAGGTCAAGGGGGCAGCAGTCTAAGCAGAGACTCCAGACTTCCCTCTCCACACGTACTTCCTCCAGCTCATCCAGGCATTCCAAGTTCAGCTGAGAGACAGGAAGAGACCAGGATTTCCCCTGGTCTCTCCTGATTTATTTTAAAGCTGCACTAACTCAGTCATGGAGCTATCGCCCCCCCACTACCTCCCTCCCACTCAGCCCGTGCTCATGTGCTAATTGTTTACAAAGCCTACGTCTCACAATATGGATCGCACATTTGAACGTGGATGGCGTGACCATAGAATGATAGAACCTGGAAGCGCGGAGGAACGAGACTTTCTTTTGGATGGCTGTTTTGTTGTGTAAGCAGTAACCGGTAACGAAGACACAGGAAGTTTCAGGTTAGCCTCCGCCGCTTGTAGACCTCAGCTGTCTGTGCTAACGAGAGACCTGTGGATTTTCTCAAGAAAGTGGGGGCCAGTGGTCCGCTGTGATTGATCACTATCTGATCCCGAAACAAATTATCTTTCTTGTTGCACAAAAACTTGATCTGATATAAAATGACACGCCATGGATCTGGATTGAATTTTCATAATGAATACAAAAATAAAGTGAGGTAATGCAGCTTTAACGTTCACTTTTTGAAGAAAGAAAAAACATTGTTTTCCATGTATATATATATATTATATATATATATATATATATATTATATATATAATTTTTTTTTTTTTTTTTTACCCCTATAGTTTTTTTCACCAAATGGTTGAGATGCAGTTTGATATTTAAAAAAAAATGGGACCCAAACCAAGGGATGGCAATGTAACACAATATGTCTCCTGTCCCACTAGAGGAGACAAAATACTGGATCTGTTCTTCAGCAATGCCAAGCACGCATACACATGGGCGGCTCTCCCCCCGCTAGGCAAAGCTGATCACAACATAATGCACCTCCGGCCTGTATACAAACCACTGGTGCAAAGGCAACCCGTGGTGAGGCACTTGATACGAACATGGAATACAGACACTGTCGAGGCCCTCCGTGATTGTTTGGAAAGGACGAGCTCTGCGACCCCCATGGGCAGGACATTAATGGCATGACGGAGTGCATCACGGGATACATAAACTGCTGCTTCGAGAACACTTCAGTGACCTGGTAAATGCTGTGTTTTGCCAACAACAAGCCAAGGATTAATTCGGACACAAAGGCTCTGCTGAAGGCAAAGAAGCACGTTTTTCGATAATGAGGAGCGGAGAGACGCACAGAGACATCTGAGAACATCAGTAAGGGAGCCCAAAGCTCAATACGGTGGCAAAATGGAAGAGCAGCAAAGCAGACAGAACATCAAAAGTGTTTGGGACAATCTAGGCCATCTCAGGATTTACACAAAAGCCTGTTCCGCAGGTGGGGGACAGACAATCGGTTAACAACTTGAACACGTTTTACCTGCGGTTCAATCAACAACCCACCCCCTGCTCTGCTGCTGCCCACCCCTGTTGGAGAACAATGCCCCCTAGACACGGTTGTTAAAACCATGGCCCACGCCTCTCAGCTCTCTCCCACCACCAGCCTCCACCCCTGTCATTCACTGCCGCACAGGTCAGATTGGAACTGCTTAAAAACAAGCCAGGGAAGGCCTGCGGACCAGACGACATCAACTCCAGGCTCCTTTGCTCATGCGCAGATGAACTCTGTGGAGTGATGGAGCACGTCTTCAACCTGAGCCTCAGGCTGAGGTCGGTACCACAGCTCTGGAAGACCTTCTGTGTGGTACTGTGAGGATTAGATACGTAGCTATTTGGCCTACGTGCAGGACAAGCACAAGAGACTACGCAGACTCTGGTTGTGTATCCATGTTATGACTATGATATGCACTGAGTGTCTCTGATTTGACACGTACTGTCTTTCGATGTGTGACGGAACAATGACTATAAAAACTGTGTACTGCTTTTATTCTGTCTGAAAGAAAGAAACAACAGAAACCACTGGAACTTGAGAGAACCCTAATAAACTTCCAGAGCTTGGCACACCACAATCCGTCTCTGTCTGGTTCATTCCTGACAGAACCAGTGCCCAAGACACCACGGGCCAAGGATCTCAGCGACTTCAGGACGGTGGCTTTGACATCACACTGGAAAGACTGGTCCTGGGAGATCTCCGCTCCACTCTGAGCCCAGCGATGGACCCGCTGCAGTTTGCCTACCGGCCGGGCATCAGAGTTGAGGACGCCATCATCTCCATCGCTCGCTGTCCCACTTGGAGAAACCCGGCTCCGCTGTGAGGATTCTGTTGTTCGACTTCTCCAGGGCCTTCCAAACCATCCAGCCGCAGCTTCACAGGGACAAGCTGGAGACAGCTTGAGTGGACTACGACCTGTCTGAGTGGATTCTGGACAACCTCACAGACAGACCCCAGTTTGTGAGAACCAGGGACTTTGTGTCTGAGGACCTGACCTACAGTGTGGGGGCCCCAGGGGAAAGGGACAGTCCTCGCGCTGTTCCTCTTCACCCTCTACACTGCGGACTTTAGAAACAACACAGACGGTTGTGTCCTACAGAATTTCTCAGACAACTCTGTCATCATTGGACTCAGCTCCAAGGTCTCCTTGATAAGAGTACAGAGGAGTTATACAAGACTTTGTGGACTGGTGTCAGCGGAACCACCTCCTCATCAACGCGGGGAAGACCAAGGAGATGGTGGTGGATTTTCCGCAGACGTCATGCATCGTTGCAATATCCTTAACTTACTATATCCGTGTTAAAAAGGGGTTCGACAACAGTTATCTGGAAAAACGCACACAACAGACAAGGGAGTAGTTTTTTACTTGCATGTAACAAGGAAGAGATGTCTTTACGGGTGGCAAGGGGGCCTCTGCGTCCTAAACAGCCAAAAGCCAAGCCCCCTCACGACGGAAAAGCCCCACAAGTATAACATTAACCACTTGTTGGACATCGTCTTGCAACATAGTTTCACAAAACACCCCATTGTGGACAATGTGGATAACTATTAGCTTGGTTTCAACACCTCCGTTGTAGATTTCCACACTCCAATGTAGTTCAAACCAATAGTTGTCTAGACCGAATATATTCACATTCATTTAAATGATAACCCATACAATTCCACTATCATTTCCATCCTGATTATCATTTAATGAATCATCTATATTCTGTTTAGTAAACCAACTTAATGATGGAACATTAATAACTCAATTAAATTGATATAAACACACAAAAGAACCCAAACAAATTATTTTTAGAGTTCATTTCATATGTATATGTATTGCTCTCCCATAAACCTTAATATTCCTCCTGTTGAGACATTATTTATGGCTCAATAACTGAACATATTCCCACTTATTAGTGTGTAGGATATGAAAAAGACACAAATACCCCATTTATTAATGTCATTCAATGTAGCATCAAAATGTACACGCTAAACGTTAATTTGAAATGTATTAACCCACATGTATCATTCATCCTAATGTGTCACTTTATTTTCTAATCTCAACACCACACACCAAAATAGGCTATTCTCCAGAAACGCCTGTTGTAGACACGCCTCCACCCCAATGTCTTCTGCAGCCAGCAATGTCCAGTCACAACACATTTCTGTAAAATTACAATGAAATTTCAACTTTAAACAAATGTTATTTTGATAAACAATTCAAACATGCAAATTTAAATATAAATTGGTTAAAAAACATCCAGTGGCGTTTTATTTCCACAATTATAATGTGATTACAAAAAACTTTACAATACCATAAATCACATTGTGATTTCATGGTATTATTACCGTAATTTAACATAGGGTTGATGTATTTTTGGAATGCTGGGAACTTTTTGCTAGCGAGCAACCATGAGTGTAAGAGGTACCTCTTACACATGTAAACTCTTGCTTTAGTTTGAATGATCCTTTTGCATTAAGCATGTTATAGAAGTAAAGATTTCAACTACTTTCTTATATAAACTGAAGATGTAAAAAAATAATTGATAAGTTGTTTCATTAAAGGAAAACAAAGTTAAACTGTAGTTTTTTGTTCAATGAAACTAATTAGAAACAGAAACAGTCATATGGTGTAATAATACAAAATGAACATTATAATGCTGTTTTTGTTGTATGTGAATTAACAGGAACATACAGTTAAATCCTGAAATCACAAAGGCAAAATGTGAGTCAGTGAAACAGTCTTTAACCGTTCAAATTAGCAACGGTAATGCCATGTTGAGAAAACGGTAGATTCCTGGAACCATATTTGCCAGCTATTTACCGTTTTTCTACAAGGAAATTCTCTACAGTGCAGTAGCATCCTGCACAGAAGCACTCTGCACCTGTACCTTGACGTCTGTCCTGTTCACACACTTCAGAACCGACAGCAAAACTGGAAGCCTCCAGTTCTAAATCTTTGCACAAAGATGATGTCCTCAGTCTTAGAATTTTGTAATCTGTAAAATGTCCCAAAAACACACAGAATCAAGTTGTTGATTTGAGTCCGACCTCTTTGCATCATTGCTTCTGTTGTTACATTTAGCCATTGGTTTGGCCTGCTGGTTTAACTTCCTCTTTTGAAGTAGGTGGATTATTGGTGGGGGTGGGAGTTGGCGTCTCCGTCACAGGAATTAACTTTTCGCTTTTGAGCATTAAAGTGGTGTTTTAGGTGTTTTCCCCTCAAACAAACAAACAAAACACACATTAGTTAATACATTTCAAACAGTTAATGAAGACAGTTCATGTAGACAGTCCTATCACTGTATATTTTCTTGTGTCAGTAATGAACATATCACAATTAACAAATGAATGAATGTATGACTAGTTACATTCAGATTCAAACAGATTTACATTTCTTTGATGAAACCATGAAACCATTAAACATGCTACAGTAAATTCCCTTACTGTTAAATATGAACCCTTCAAATTAGGGGCCTGGCTCCTCGTTCCCATCCACAGCACCTCCACTGCCGATGCTTCTCCCCCTCCTCCTGCTCCTCTGGGTCACTCCTGCTCCCAGATCTGTTTCTCTCTGGTCGGAGTGAGGGAAGCATGTGCTTTGCTGCTTACTTCAGTGATGCTGTACTGGGAACTGTCCCCCAGACGTCCCCTCGTTCAGCTGAGACAGAAACAAACTCAGAAACAGAACAAAATATTAGTTGACAATTCTGTTTAACCATAATTTAAAGTGATTTTACCCTAATGTTAATTCATAATATTTGTGAAATAATATTTTAGTCCTGACGTTTGTTCCTATTTTTATAGTCTGTAGCTTAGAGGAAACATTGATTGGATTTATTAAAAAGAAAAAGTTAAAAATTCTTCACCGTTTTCATTTTGAATTTGAAAAACAATGCTGAAAAATCGCTTGATTGTTGATGTTTGAGAAAATATGTATTTGAAGATTATGTGTTTTATTGTCTGAGAATGGTACACATGATGAACACCAAAGCTGAGAAAACATTTCATATACTACTTCATGGTGAAGAATTAAGTGGTGTGTCATTTATGTTTCATCCCCAGAATCAACCAACAGAGACTCTCTGGACATGATCGAGCGCAGCATGTGCCTGGTGTGTCTGGATGATGCTAGCGCAGCAGAAATTAGTGATAGCATGCGCACCTCGCTAATGCTACACGGAGGAGGGCCTAGCAAGAACGGAGGCAACCGTTGGTACGACAAGCCCTTGCAGGTTAGCCACACTCAAGTTACAGTACGTTATATGGGAATATCTGATTCAAATTGGGACTTATTTGCTTTGGTCAAAACCAAGCAGAGAGTCTGAGACTGTTCTACACTCATACAAATAAACAATTACCCCATAATTGAGAAATGTCCCCCATTTTCCAACCAGGTGTACATGAAGAGGTACCTGACATGATTTTCAAGGAGAATTATTAACCTGAGCCAATTCCTTCAAGAAAACAACAATACTATCTATTGTATTACATGTATATACACTGAACCCATAATGCAGTTAATGGTAACACTTAGTTTTTCAGTCTGCAGCCTTTCCAGTTTTGGTTCAGTCCAAGCCAGTACTCATTTACTTCACAAACATATCAAATGTCGTAGTCTGAAGCACGAGCCACAGACTTTTGAATGAGCTGTCGGCACGGCGGCTTAGTGGATAGCACTTTCGCTTTTGAGTCCTGGGTTTGAATCCCGGCCCGGAACGGGACATTTCTGAGTGGAGTTTGTATGTTCTCCTGTTTCTGCGTAGGTTTTCTCCGGGTGCTCCTGTTTCCCCTACCACTAAAACCATGTACTGGCATGCCGTCTGTACTGGCAACCCTGTTCTCTGTGTGGAGTGAGAGACAAAATGCCTAAAAACCGAAATTGTAAAGCGCTTTGTGACTCTGGTCTGTGATAGGCGCTCTATAAACAGGGGTGTGTTGTATCTTCTCATCAGCAGAAGATGGGGTTTCCCGCACAAACCAGTATAGTGTTGGAGAAGGAATGCACTCTGAGTTATGTATTAAAGAAAGAGTTTAATGGCATAATCAGAATACATCAAGTCCAATTCCGGCTTAGCGCTTTCAGCCTGGGTCAGCTCCGAGAATGAGGATGGCATGACTGACCCCTAACACACAGAGGACTAGAATCTTATAGATTGTTGAAGAAGTCATAAGACACAGTCACAAGATCCAGTAAAAGCAAACCATACATTAAGGACAGCCATGTACATTTTCCTAACATTAGTGCTGCTCACATGTCTGCCTCATGACTGAGAAAGGGATCATTAGAGTCAGCTGCTTCTACCATTTTGACCCAAATGTTCCCAACACATTTTGAAGATACATGCTTTATATGTATAAGTTATAATAGCAGACACTACATATTCCCCCTTTTGATCGAGCTCATGCTTGATCACTAAATGAAATTATACCTGTCTCCTTACTGTGAGTATGAGAGCAAAAACCAACCTCATATTAGCTTATTGGAAAAATTCTCTCATAGCCCCAACATCTCAATATTAATTTGTCTTCATGTGTTCTCGTTGAACAGTGAGTCGCATAATAATAACGTGGACCAACTATCTCTTTCAAGTACTGGGTTCTCTGCCAACATGGATGACAAAAGAGCAAGTGCAAAACACTATGCCTGAGAAGTTTCAGATCTATTGTCCAAATGTGCGAGTGATAATTGACTGTACTGAAATCCGGTGTGAGAGTGCTTCCTCCTTAACACTACAGTCTGAAACCTTTTCAAGTTACAAAAACTACACAACGTTTAAAGGTGTAATTGGGGTTAATCCTTGTGGCAATGTAACATTTGTGTCAAAATTATACACGGGCTCAATTTCAGATGTAGAGATAATCAAACGATCAAAGCTTTTGCTATTACTTGAACCTGGTGATGGCGTGATGGCTGATAAAGGATTCTTGATTGAGAAGATGTTGTCTGAAGTTGGAGTATCTCTAATCATTCCTCCACTGAAGAGGTCCCGTCAGCTGAGCCTGGAGGACACTCTGAAGACACAGGCCATTGCCCGGCTGAGAATTGTGGTTGAAAGGGCAATACGGCGGGTCAAAGAATATCATATATGGGATGGAGCAATTCCGCTTTCAATGACAGGTTCTGTCAACCAGTTGTGGGCTGTATGCTGTCTTATGTCCAACTATCAGGGACCTCTAGATGTTTCACAAGACAAACCCGTTTGAAATGTGTCAATATTGTTTAAATATGTAAAATGGTAAAGAATATTTCTGACCATTTAATTTTTTGTTTGCGTTCATGTTCTAGAATTTGATGTCTGGTGGAGAGCAGAGACTAAAACAACTCTTAAGGGAGAAATGCATTTTTTGTAAATAAAATCTCCAAAAAGAAAATTGACAAATGTTGTACTTCATTAGTAGTTAGAAAAGATTTGATTCACAAATCTGCCACATACATTTTATGGCTGCAAGCCTTTTCTACTGGACATCACTTTTTGAATATTGTCTCCACTTCTGGATGCCAAATAATTAGACATTAGTTAATATGTGCTGACGGACAACACAATGAACTTAGACAGTTTTGGTTTCATGTGGATTCTCCCTGTAATAACGATGTCAACCAAAAAAAAATCTGCAATTTGCCAGTTACCATAGTTACCATCATGGAATTTTCAGTTACTCCACCTCAGTTTTAAACTATTGGCTCTTTAGAATGTTGTGATGTCACGTGAACACAGCCTATTGAGAGAATATGGAATAATGAAATTATTGAAGTTATCATTCTTGTGCATTTATGAGGTACTACACAAAAGTCTTTAGAGCTAGAATTTGTTATACTTTAACAGCATTTTTTGGAGTATATAATGGTAAAAGACCACCCTTGAATATATTCAAAACACATTTTATTTAACAATATAAGGGTAGACTTGAATTGACAACCCTGTAACACAGGTACCTCTAATCCGATAAACATACAAAAACAAATAGCAATGAAACTCATGTTTTTAAAAGTTGACTACAAAGTGAACGTGACCTAAGTGCAATAGTAAAGGTTATCTTTGAAACGGAGTAGCTCACAGGATAAAATTATTGGAGACTCAATGTTTGGACTGGATGAACTCATCCATATATGTGTTATAGTAATTATCCAGCTGAGGCCTCATGGTCAGGATGAACTCGTCATCTCTGTGTAGCCTTTCCACAGTAATGTCCCCTCTAGTGTCAGTAATAAAGTCACACCACTGAAGCCCTGTAATGGCAAGCTGACCCTGGACTTGATAATAATATTTATGTGACTTCTTCAGGCAGACTTTGCTATTAATTGTTTTGAGATGTTTGACTCCTTCCACATTGTCCACATCACAAGCCTTTACCTCTGCAAGGCCAAACGGTGGACATCCATTTGGGTCAAAAACTTTTGCATCAGGAGTGGTGGCTAAATGGGGTGCATCCGGATGAATTATAACACCACACTGCATGACGGAAACATCACACAAGTCTGAATATTGATTTAGAATTTCAGGCTCCAGTTCAAGTCCTCTTTTCATTGCTGCAGTTTGAGGCGTTCCTTTGATTATTCGTGCTGCAAGGTTTTTTGATGACGACTCCCCGCGTACATAACATACTTCTCTGAAACGGCTGGCTGTCAGTCTGGGTCTCCTCACCTGGCCCCAAAGAGGGCACTGTGATTGCTGTCTTGTCTCTTCTTCAATAGCTGCAGATAGGCGAGTGGACACCTTCAAACTTTCCAGGTGACATTTTTGTACATAGTTGGGCTGAAATGTGAAGGGATTTTTGAAACCGTAGCCTTCAACAGGCAGAGTAGGAAAACCCTGTGCTTTTGAATGTTTTATAATGTCTCTGCTTTCAGAATCAGGTGGAAATTGATATGATAAAACGGATCCAAACGGAACTGGGCCAAACTTTGAGTCCACCATTTTGAGACTGTCCAGGCCATGAAGCAATTTGCAAATTCCGGGCTGGGGACGCACATTCTCAAGCTTCTTCATGCTGGACATTATATGGGGATCTGGAAGTGGACCTGAGAAAAGCACAAACACAATATACAGCAGATGTTAGTAGGTCAATATCTATAGAAATGTATCGAGGCGTGCAGCTGTAGGTTGACATGAGCCTGCATAACGTAGGGGGAAAGCAGCATGGTACAGGGGAATAACACTGTGTGTACACAAAATATTGCTAAAAAAGTTGAAATGAACAAATCAGAACATTTTCAGATGAATAACTTACCGGAATAGGCCTTGTAAACAATCGATTTCACAAATTTAGTTGTTGTTTTTGTGGATTTTTTTACCACCATGTTGGTTGTAGACTCTGGTGCAATTCCCTAAAATGAAAAGATTTACATTACATTTACAGTAGAGCCAGAGAAACAAACTATACACAAAAACTTTACCTGGGTCCTTGGCCGATGCCATCTTTGCAGTGTACTGGTGCAGGATAAAGGGACTGGCACACTTTTAAAGCCCATGGCCCTATAGTCAATAATGGGCAAAATGAAGAACGCTTCAGTGTTTCAAAAATGAACCTTTATGTTACATGATTTGAACCATGAGATTATGTGACCAATGCCTTGATGAATGGAAACAATCAATTCATGGATTTATACGAGCCTAGAGCTTTGAAAGGACAATATTTCAACTAAGGCCTTGGAATAAAACGAAAATTAATTACTTTGTTGATTGTAATACATTCAAATCGTCAGCAGATGGCAGAATAGAATGAGGCTTCAGTTTAGAATAATTTGCTGACATAATAGGCTGTGAAGCCCCATGCATTCACAAGGCTTCATTTTTCCAATCATTACCTGTAGTGTGCCGTTTGGTACAGCACTGCAACCAGGTGGTTGCAGAGGGCCCTTCCTGCAGCACAAGAGCAAGACATTTCTTGCACAGTAAACGGCACATCACTTAAATTGAAGGTTATCTGTAAAAAAAATGTATAATAATAATTATATTTGTACAGAAAATCTTAATTTTATGGAGCTTAAAACAGGCATATATTATGCAGAGTCATTCACAATGCAGGCATGCAGCTAACACATTCTATTGCTACACAGCAACTTCAACAAAGATGAATGAGACTTGGATCTCTATCCATAACGTTACACAATTGCTGAAATAGAACCTGAAGATGATGCGCTTCCTCATTTTTCTTCATGGACCTATGACATCTTCCCCTGACAGTCACCTCACTCTGCACTATATTTGAAACTGATGGGAAAAATGTTAGATAATACACTACTCACTTTCAACTGGAATGAAGAGGGTAATACTAATCCCACTTAAGGCTCTTGCATAATTAGTAAAACATATTTTTTGTGTTAATTAAACTTACAAAACAAATGTAACACCAATATTACTTGTTATAGTTAAAGCAATGAAAACACACTGGTCTGCCAACATATCATTTTAAACTTGCCTTCGTAGTAAATAGGCAGTAGATAGAAAATGTATCCTTCGATGAAGAATTTATAACCTTTGTCCATTTTAGATCTTTTAGTAAGTGAATGTGTGTCACAGATCCTGTGTATGTCCTCAAATGTTAATTGAGGCAAGTTGAGAAGGGACTCTGTAAAAACATTGTGTGATGACTGGGCCATCCTAGAAAGAAAGAAAAAATGAAATTAGCACATTAAACTTAAGCCTAAATAAAGTACTGAACAGTAAAACATACAATGTATACTTAACAAGAAAATGTATAGCTCTGTTATTGGGAGGATCATTGTTTATTTTTGTGATGTTTTGGTGAAAGGTGGGCAAACAGCAGATTTTTCCAGCAGTGAAGAGCTGTTTATTTAAATCACAGATCTTTTACAGCACAAGGGGAGCAATGCTCTGTTTGTGAACATTGTTTTGACCCACCATAGAACTAATATTATCAATTTAATACATTTGTGTTGCCCACCAAAGCCTCGGATAGTCAAGCGTTTCTCACGGTTCAGTAGCATGTTGCTAATTTGCATTAGCATTTGGAGCTAAGATAGCCTATTCTTTGGAAGCTAACAGATTGCAGCACTATCTACAGATCTATAACTAGGAAACCAAACAATAGTTACACAGATCAATTAATAACGTAAGCAAACACATTAGAATCAATCTTCCCAAATCAGCAGTCGTTAGCATTACAACTGGCTACAAGCTTTTGGACAAACTCACTTCTCTATCATCACACCGTTATTCTTCGGTGCTTTTTTTTATTTTTTTACTCCCCACGCAATGTCTTACTTGTTGTCAATGATTACATACCTTCCACTTGACGTCTGCGGTAAATTTCCTGGAGATATTTTACTTCAGACTGAAAAGCGCGATCCCATGCCATTAGGTATAACGCGGACAGGAAGTCGTTATCCACTGCACGGAAGTACAATGGCGGATTCGTGACGTTGCGTGAAAAGGGCCTATTGGAGGCTGGAGAAGTCTTCTTCGAGCTGCTGCAGCCGATGCTGCGGTCTTTGGTGCCCCCTGTGGGTCGGCGGAGACGCTGATGGTCCATTTTAGTAGACGCTCAGTTGAGGCTTGTGGCGCGGACGATTTTGGCCAAATGAAACAGACAGAAGTTTTCTCAGAAAAAAACAGACAAACAAGAAGCACAAACAAGTGTGTTAATTACCATACAAAACCAATGATTAATTACAAATCAAAATAAACCTATGAAATAATTAATATTAACATTTTAAACATTTGATTCTGAAAACCGAATTCTGCATTCAACTGCTATCCTAAGCCCTATTTTTCCAAAAGTATAATGCTCTCTAAGATCATTCTAACTTTTATATCACCAAAATGTAGGGAAAAAAACTTGTCCAGACGCCTTGGAGATAAAAATAAAATAATGCCCCTTTATAATCTAACTCAAAGTTATGTGATCATATGACTCCATGTCAGTAACATTATCGAGTGTATAAATGTAATTTTCTACAAAAAAAAATATATTTGGTAATAGTTCTGTCTTCACGAGAGAATTTGCTTACATGAATAATGTCTTACTAGTTACAGCAGGATTTTTTTTTTTTTTCCAAGTTTACCTCTGTAACTATTAAAACATTACATCACAATACATGAGAAAAACTCCCAGAACTGATCATTCTGGTCATTTCTTCACATGAAAACTCGTATCTTACAGCCAAGTGGCTCTCTTTTTTTCCTCATTAATCAGATCATTATTATCAGAATCCACATTTTAAATACTCGGCTTTTTGTTTAAATTAAACGTACCATTTTTCCCGCCCCCCCGGGGGATATAGAAGGTTTTTATTATCATGTTCTGACCCTAAAGGTGTCCCTATTTTCTAATTCTATTCCTATTTTCACTATACACTTGTGCCTCTCTGCTCTTTAAGAAGGTGTGCCTCTTCTGCACTTCTAAAATCTTCCCTCAAGGTAAAACGTCAAAACCTGACTATTGTTTTATCGCGTCCGATAAAACGCCCATCACGGCGGTCTGTCCACACCTGCAGTCATGCTGGGCCGAATTCTCTCTCTCTTCCATTTAAAACAATGTGCAGATTTTAGAAATGGTATCTGCTTACCTTTTAGAAGCGACTGTTTTGCAGAGCAGAGAGTCTCCAGACCCACAGACCCGGTTTCTCTATCTGAGCTTATCTTGCGTCTTCTTTCTGTATCAAATCACGTCAGGGGTCACCATTTGTTGTCAAAAAAGATTTGACTGACGTGTTCAGAATTTGATACAGAAATAAGGCCAAGACTGCAAGAGTTAAAAATAGAACATTTAATTCTCTTTACAATTAAATATCGATACAAAACACTTGGAGCCATTAATTCTCTAAAACTAACCCTATGCTGAGCCATTCTAAACTTTCCCTCCAGGCCTGAAAAATGTGCAGAGAACATCCAGGCGCTCTGCGATGTTCCCTGTCTATCTATCACTGCTCAGACTGCTCAAAATGTCCTACCCCCAGTTTTATCAACATGTCCGATGACGTCACATGGTCTGAGACTGGTCTCTGGTCTGGTCTCTGGTCTGGATTTTGGTCTTCCTTATCAGTCTTAGCAAACAAGGCCCCCACCTCTGCGGCGCCTGATTGTGTTGGACTTTGCTCATCTTGTGTCCTTGTGACTTAAGACCTGAGGGCACAGGTCTTTTTTGGCTATGATGTTCAAATGGTCAAATATTGTCACATCTGTTTAGTGTATATTTAAAATATTCAACAGCTCGGACAATGCTCATCTAAGCCAGTGGCTGTGTGCCTGAACATATCTTGTCTTTCTCCTGCCGAAGCCCTGCAGAAGGATGTACAGCGTCTGAGAGGGAAGCAGAGAGGGAAGTCACACGATCAAAAAAGGACAAAGAAGCCATTTCCACGCTAGAGGCTAAAACCATCCGAGACCCTGTAAACGGTGTGCAGAGATATGCCACTCCCCTAATCCGCAAAGGTGATTTCCCACAGCTTAAAGTCCCTCCTGATGCGGTTAAAGGTCTCTTTAGGTCCACCAAACGTAGACTAGTGAAAACACCGGCTCTGGCCCTCAAATACAACCAGGAGATACAGAGGTTAGTGGACTCAGGCAATGTGGTTAAGTTAACTCCAGGGCAGATTCACAGCTCTACTGAATCCTGGTATGTGGCGCTCCACATGGTACATCATAATAACAAAGCCTGGGTTGTCTTTAACTATGGGGTGCCGATTGTAAAAATTCTGTTAAAATTTTTTAGCTGAACATTTTTCTACATTTAGCTCACTTTCCTCACATTTAGCACATTTTCCTCACATTTAAGACATATCTATATCTAAATATTAAATGTTATATCTAAATATTATATCTATATCTAAATGTTATATCTATATCTAAATGTTAAATCTAAATGTTAAATCTAAATGTTAAATCTAAATGTTAAATCTAAATGTTAAATCTAAATGTTATATCTATATCTAAATGTTATATCTATATCTAAATGTTATATCTATATCTAAATGTTAAATGTTATATCTAAATATTAAATGTTATATCTAAATATTATATCTATATCTAAATGTTATATCTAAATGTTAAATCTAAATGTTAAATCTAAATGTTAAATCTAAATGTTAAATCTAAATGTTAAATCTCAAGTGTAAAGCTACATATATAGAAACCACGCCCACTGCAGTGGCTTCAAATCCAGTGGGCCCGCCTTCCGTGCCGTGTGGTGAGTGGGGGCGGTGCCGCGTGTTTTGAACATAGGAATACACGTGGACCGACGTCACGGCTCAAGGCATGTTGGGTCTCCGGCGCCATCGTCCTTGGCCACGGCACAAAATTAGCATTTTTGTGAAGATTCTTGCTTATTTGCTGGAGCCAGAGTGTATTCACTGTAAACTAAGCCACGTGGAGTCTGTGATGGCAAGCGGCTAGTCTTCATGGCGGCTAGTATTCATGCAACCCTGCCTGCTTCTATTCATATGTCCCTGCTCCAGGAAGGAGCCGGGTTCCCCCGACACCTACAGACAATGACGCAAATCACTGTATTCTGATAACCGGCAGGAAGGTCCCGCACCGCCAGACAATGACGCAAATCACCCTCACACCCTTGTGCCTTCGCGTCTTGCATCTGTATGCCTGCATTTCTACCATTGTCTGTCTGTTCGCACCTCCATGCCACTGTCACCACAGGGGATGGCGCCTCTCCCTATGCGCCTCCTGCACCGGTGGCCCCCTCCCATCTGTTGTGGGCGTGACTGTCTTTCATGTGATGTCTATGTAAACAGGAAGCCTGAGCTCTGCGACCCAGAGCTGGGATATGCTGCCTTCTTTTGTATATGCTGGCTCTCCGCACGTGTGTTACAATAAACTTACGCTCCTGAATTAAGCCAGTAACTGGTAGAAAGTTTGAATCAATAAAAGGCTAATGGTGAGGATTATGCTAACATTATCTTGTCATTTAAATCGCAATGCTAGCGCCTTCTTTGTTTATTTTGCTGTGATTAACTTTCATTTATCAAGTTTTTATTTGCACTGTTTTTATCTTTGTAATTAGTTTGATCATCTAGTTAGCTACAGTCAGCCGATATTATAATAGATCCATCGGGTCACAACGAGCTACGTCACTACTACTGTCTCTACAGAGAGAAGTTATTGGAGCTAGCCACACTCAATAAACACAAATGACAATCAATCAACACTTTTAAATGTTAATCGGAAAATACATTATACATGTAAGAGTGATATTATTTTGATGAGTTATATCTTTGTTAGTTTGGAGCAGTGCAGTGATTGGGTAAAATGGGTCATGTGACGGTGACGTAAGGAGGAAGGAAAGAGTTGAAAATGGGTTGATAATAAAAGTGACTGCTGGCTTAAAAGAATCCTGCTCCATCCTGCTGTTCTATTACCTTGAGAGTCTTCCTTCTATCACCACGAACATACACGTTACATTTGGTGGCAGCGGTGTTGGTTATTTTGGTGATTTGGACGTCCGGTGAGTTTTGAGCCCCGGTTGTTGTCTCTCTGTGAACGGCTAGCTGCTAAAGTGCGGTTTTGGAGCTACTACGGATTTTTGCTACGGCTCTTTTTGTCATATATAATTTTTTTCTGCGTGTGGTTGGTGAAGTGGCCTTATCACCATGGATGACAACGTTACAGTGCATGAACTGCAGTCGTCGCCTCCTCGAGGGCTCCCTGTACGGCTGTCGGGGGTGCTGAGTGACGCCACGTCGTCTGCGCGAGGCGCAGTCTCAGGAGCGCTGAAGATAGACCTCCCGCCGCCATTCAAAGGTGATGGCACTGAATCTTTCTCCAGTTGGGCTCGTTGCTTTGAGGTTGCCGTTGAAGCTATGAGTTCACCGGATATGGACTATTCTGCTATGAGATCTGCTATTCTACCTACTAGACTTTCTGATGCTGCATTTTTGCTCTGGGACAGTTTACCCTCAGCAACAAAGAAGGATTATGACACGGTCAAGGTGAAGCTGGGTGTTGTTTTTGGCCCAAAGTACTCCCTGCCCTTTTTCCAAACTCATGTAAATGCTCGTCCTCGTCAGCCCGGGGAGAGCTTGGATGTTTACAGTGCAGATATAACCCGATTGGTGTTGGGGGCTTTTCCGAGGTATGACCACAATGCCATAGAGGGGGAGACATTTTGTCGTTTTGTGGCTGGTTTGGACCCGTCACTTCAGGCCAAAATACATGAGCAGGGGCAGAGGACATTGAAGAGGCCCTGCGTGTAGCAAGTCGCTGTGAGAGGGCACGTGTGGCTCTTCAGTTAAACTCCACGGATCACGCCTGCAGGGTCACGTCTGCTGACCAGGTGGCAATGGTCAGGCCCAGACCCTCGGAGGATAAGCTCCTTCAAGCAGTAGAACAGCTAACACTCACTGTTGATAGTCTCAGACAGGAAGTTCACCAGTTACATGAGAAACATGGTCTTCTTGCGGCCCGTTTCAGACAGAGGGGCTACTACTCCCCTGAGCGTTATGGCAGAGATACTTCCCGGAGATCCAGTCCTAGCCCCAATGCACACCAGAGATACAGGGAGCAGGACACTGACTGGAAAGGCCACTATCCCTCCTCCCCCAGATCAGGGACCTATGCTAGATATGAGCGTACGGATTATCCTCGCAGTCCCAGCCCAGCGGCGAGGGGACGTAGGGATCCCAGCCCACGTTCAAGACAAAGTGTGAGGTTTCAATCCCCTGAGCGACAAGCACCACTCTCGCAGCCGGGAAACTTCCATTAGCTGATGTTGAGGGGCAAACGCCAGCTACTACGTCCGCGCCCCAGAGCACAAAAGTGGTTTCATCCACAGTTCTTGCTATTGTGGAGGGCATTGAAGTGTGTGCTTTAATTGACTCAGGTTCATTTGTTTCCATTGTTAGTGAAGAGTTTCGTAATTCTCACCCAGCTTTGAGGAAGCGACCAATGACTGTCTCCACTGTCCCCGCTCGCTCTGTGAGTGGTCAAGTCTGGACATTTTAGGCAAGTTAACGATAGGACTTAGGATGGGACACAAAGTTTGGCAACGTGAGTTTGAAGTGCTCAGAGGGGCTTATCAACCAGTTATCTTAAGCTGGGATTTTCTGGTGCAACACCGTGCCTTGCTGGACATTAAAAACAAAGTACTACAGCTTTGGGACATGACAATCCCACTGTTACCAAAACAACCTGAAGTGACCGCATGCTGTAATGTGTCAGTCTTAGTACCCACTAAAATACCAGCTATGAGTGAAACATTAATTTCAGCTTGTGTATCTTCTGCTACTCCTGCCTCGCCAGTACCGACAGACTATTGTGGTGTAATAATGCCCAATACAAACACTGATGTCATTGTGGCGCACACAGTTAGTACTGTCCGGCATGGCACCACTGTAGTTAGAGTGTTGAACACCTCTAGAGATGATATTGAACTACATCCAGGCCAACATCTGGGTGAATTTCATTCAGTTTCCTCTGTTGACATAGCACCACTTGATGAGGCGTCCTCATTGGCCAATGGGGATTTGTCACCATTAGTGCAGTTAACAAATACACACCTATCACACTCCCAGACCGCAGCATTAAATCATCTTTTAGTGAAGTATTCTGAGGTGTTCAGTTTGAATTGCCCAGGATAGGGGCCGCACACAGGGGTAATAAGGCACCACATTCGCACAGGTGACGCTATGCCTAGTAAACAAAGAGCATACAGAGTGACTCCTGACCAGTACAAGCACAGGTCGGAACTTCTGATGGAGTTTATAGCATATATATATATGAGCATTCAGATAACTACAGGTATGTTTTCTGAATATAAATTGGATCCCAGCAGAGCTCTGTTTTTAACCAAAGTTGATCAACTCCTGCAGAGGCCGCACTGAGGTTGTTTTTTTTTTTTTGGTACAACATTTAGTAACTAGATCAAAATCGAATGAGAGGTTTTCCGATTAATTCATAACATTCCCTTATGGTCTGGGCGAACACTTGATGATGATCAGGTTGCAAGACACTGCAGGTGAATAGGGGAAAAAAATTAATGTAGAGAAATCAATTTGAAACTTTTGCAGAACATCACTGATAAAAATATGAGAAAAAAAATGTATTGCATTTTTTCTGTCATTTTATGTTTTCATATAAAAATAAGACATTTTGTTCATAAAAATTGCCAAAATGGGCTATATTTTGGGCAACGAAATAAAAATAATGGATTGAGCCAGATTAAAATTTATGGTTTCATTTTATTGACATATTAGTAACTCAGATTTGTTCAGAGGGGATTTTGGATTTATTGTTTCCTTTTTCAATTAACTAATCATAAGTGAAAAAATCTGTAAAAACTCAAATTCTGCCTGTTTTTTTGTGTTCAAAGCTGAATAAATCAGGCTAGAAATTAGATATTAAAAATCCCTCTGAAAAAACCTTCAAAATATTGTTAAGTCCAAGACTGGAAAGTTTGGAGTCTGTAGGACCCGAGTGAGGCTTTATCCCCATTCAGAGAAAACGACCTCTGAAGTTTTGTAACTACTGCGCATGCGCGGAACCTTCTTTGGCTTTTCCGTCCCAGCGTCTCCCAGAAGGAAACATACCATATTTGGGCAATAGCGTCATCGCGGGGATCCCTTTGCAGCACACGTGGATGTAAAATCAGTCAATATCTGTGAATGAATATGCGCTGCAGACTGCAGAGCGGTCTTTCGACGCGGAAATCTTTTACTTCCGGGTTCAGTCTGGCTCGCAAGCGGAGAAATCATCACAAAATAAGCACCTTGCGGGGTGAGTTTTGCTATTTTTATTCTCTGACAAGAAAACCAAGATGTAAAGGGAGGGAAATGGATACAAATCTCCACTTCGACCACTGCGTGAAAAATCAATACTTTCACCTGCCGTGTCTCGCCTTAAAAAAACAAAACAAAACGCAACCGGGAAAACTCACCCTCAAAACCACTTTTTTCCCCTGATAAACTATATAAATTACTGTCCAATATAGTGTTGTCTACGTATCCTGGTCATTATTTTGGCACTTTAGTGCAAATTAGTTGAAAGATCAACTTTATAAAACCGTCAGTGAGGCGAAATCATGGCGCGAAATCTGCAGGCGATCTTTACTGCATTTGATTTTAGAAGTGGCGATGTCAGATGATTCAGGCCTGTCAATCACAGATCCCTCCCCCTCCCGCGCGCCCCTCAGTCCTCCAAACAACGCCCCTTTTCTGTTGAGTTTATTTTCAAATCTGAGGCTCTGGAAGGGGGGGGTAGTGCCTCTCGCTCCGCTGTTTCCATGGTAACGATAAACTATTGATCTGAAACTATAGCTTCAGGTAAACCAGCTAAAAAAGTGAAATAACTCCTGCCCAAATGAACAATTTGTTTGTGACACCATAGGCTATAAGTGGGGTAATCTTCAATTATCAGAAATGGATGACTTCGCAGAAAATAAACACCCCGGTAAAGTGTTGTATTTTTGGAACCCACTCGTTAGTAAAAAATATATTGAGCAGAATGTTTAAATAAACTATTGTAAAACCACTTAACATAAAATGACTGGCATAGTAAGAGAACTATGCCCGACTTGGGCCATACACGTTAGGCTATTCCAAGATAGATGGTAATGTAAAAGTGGCTTTAAACGTGCACCTATGCCAATACAACTCTTTAGTGGATGACTATAAAACAGTTTATAGTACAACTATAAACTTTAAAGTAAATATACAGTAGAGTTGGTGGAGTCACCTACCTACAGTTGCAGAGACCGCTGAAGAGATGGAGATAAATTGCGCCTTCTGTCTTCACGGAGGAGATGACAATCGGCGCACACAAGATAAAACGGAACTGCGGGGACGGTCGCCGTTTTGACCGCGAATATCAATCGGCGGCTGTTGGTCAGCAAGTAGTTGAGCCGATGACCGATGGATATAACCGCGAATTTGTCATGGGTGACGTCAGTAGGAGAAGAATCTGCGTAACTTAGAAAATATGTGTTTTAAAATTTAACGCACTAATTTAACACTGCCTAGTCTGTGTAACTGATCATTTAACCTGTGTTTTGTTAAAAAATATTTTTACATTTATTTTGTGTAAATAGTAAAGAATGAAATTACACATGCGCCACCGCTCACCGCTGCCGTACACGCGTCCACTGTATTGCATCTTTACAGCAGGTGTTTGACGTCAATATGCGGCGGATTTTCATAGAATAAGGAGCGTTTTGTTGCTTGTGACTCTTCACATTGCATTGCATTGAAGTACAATTGGACCAGTTGTGTTTCTGTAAGATGTGCACTGCGCGCCACAGGGATGTCACGTCATGTGAGTGAGTAGGCCTAGTCTATGATGCCACAATCGGGCCAATTAAAAAAATAGCAATTGGACCTATTACTGATTGCCAGTGTTGGCCCATTCTCTGTTTTATTGGAGTTGGCCTGAGGCACATCAGTTTAAAGCTGCACTAACTGACTTTGGGATTTTGAAGCCGCGGACTCGCTCTTTCTGCTCCCCTCCCCGCACCCACGAAGCTATCGCCCCCCACACACACTCACTGTTGAGACGGAGCTAGCCTCTCCTAATATGGATAATACATGGATATGGATTTTCACGTGGATGGCGTGACCATAGAACGATAGAACCGGGAAGCGCGGAGGAACGAGACTTTCTTTTGGATGGCTATTTCGCTGTATAAGCAGTAACCGGTGACGAAGACGAGAAAGTTTCAGGTTAGCTCCTCGGCTTGTTGTGCTAACTCAGCTGTCTGTGCTAACGGACCTGGAGATTTCTCACGAAAGTGGGGGCTAGTGGTGCGCTGTGATTGGTCACAATCTGCGACCCGAAACACATTCTCTTCCTTGTTTCATCAAAACTCGATCGAAAATATAATGTCAGGCCAGCACAAATCTGCGCTACATTTTCTTCAAAAGGACGTATATCCCAATGCACTACATGGACATGGATAGCGTTTTCGTAATTAATACGAAAATAAAGTCAGTTAGTGCAGCTTTAAGTCGGGCCATCAACTGCAATACTAAGGTGAGCTGCGTTTGAGGCCATCGTCGGCAGGGGGCAATAAAACCTCACTCGGGCCGATCAATAAACACTGGGATTGGCGCTACTATTGCAAGTCTGCCTCGGCCCATTCAAAAATAACAATGTTTCCGCCGAGTCGGAGCTCAGCCGACACTGACGTGGCTAAGCCAGAGTTGGCCCGAGTGTCCTTGCTACCTGGGCAGCGATGGTTTATGAAGTGTTCATGATTCCAACAGCAGAGGGGAAGAAACTGTTCTTATGGCGGGAGGATCTGGTCCTGTTGGACCGTAGTCTCCTCCCTGAGGAGAGTGGTTGGAATTGTCCATCTACAGGGTGAGAGGGGTCAGCAGTGCCCGAGCTCGGGCGATCACCTTCTCCGCAGAGCGCACCATGCGCTGTAGTCTCTGCTTGTCCCTGACTGTCTCTCCAGCGAAGGATGGAGAAGGTGAGTGTAACCCAGTGTTAAAAACGTGATTAAAAATAATATTACTGATTAAAATTTCATAATAATAAATATTGACAAAAAGTATATAAATATAAATTGATAAATATCGTTTAAAAAATCATTTAAAAATACGTAAAAAATATATTTTTAAATATACACCCCGAGCAGCCAATTGCGCTATAGTATAACATCATCATTAGCCAATAAGGTCAAGTCTCCTCTCCTAACCTCCACGTCCTCTGTACG